AGCCATATCAGCATTTTATTAAAACAAAGTTTTTTATGACGCACTGATTGAGTTGCTACTTAATCATTCTGGAATTTTCATGAGTGTTTATTGTATAAAAGGATGTGTTGGGAAAATTTTCCAAAAATCTACAACTCGATTATCAGGATTAAACACAGCGGGATTCCCTTTTAACTTTAATTTATTTACGAAGTTTAATTTATTTACAGTTCATGAATTTATTATGAGTTTATTTGAATGAAATGCTTATTAAGATAAGCACGAATAGAACTGCGTCTGAAACAAATCTTAAAAAGTATTTGTTTGCTGTGATAGCGTTTATAGTGTTATGCACTCCATGTAGTAAATTTTATCAAGTAAAAACATAAATTAGAAAAGAGCTGAAATGATCTATGCTTCTACCAAAAATGGCGAGACATAACAAATTATTGCCATTCCATCAAAATTCAATGTCACAAAAGATTTATAATTTTGCATTAACGCTGTATCTAAATTTGTATCCACCTGATAATGCAAAAAATAAATCAACGTGTCTGATGATTGCATTGAATGACATGCATAAAACTGCATATCTCAGCTTTTTACGTTTGCCCTCTATCTTTACTGCTCGGCTGAATTTTACTGCCTGTTGGTCGTAAAGTTGAACTTACCGCCATGAAAATTAATCTTAAAACTCGCCATTTTGATTTAGTTAAGCGTAAGCTCTATTTTTTAGGACCAATAAACTTTATACTTTATTAGTTGTTTATATTGAATGTAGCGATTTTTGATTATTTCATGGCATCTCTTATCACTTATGATTATCATTTTTGTCTATCATTTTCCAGTATTAAAAGCACTATTTTTCTCAGAAATTTGTATTCGTTAATTAATTGGTAGTTGCTAATGAATAAATGGATTGTTCAAAAAATGTAATGTTAATATTTAATTTATAAGTCACCACAACGCTCATAATTACGATGCTCTCCTAAAGATTGACAATGGCACTTAAACCGGTAGAGAAAGTATAATAAAACTACTTTGTTATTGAGATACTGAGTTAATCTGTATCTCAATATGTACCTAGTCGCCTTCAGCCTCCACACCTCCCTATTTTTCGCCTCTCTTCCAATTCCTGAATCCCAGCACTTCTTTTGCATCCACATCGACTGTCTCCTTCCATGGTCTCTGTGGTCTTCCCTTCAGTCTTACTCCCTGCATTTTCCTATTTATTAATATTCTGGGCAGTTTTCATTCTTCCAATCTGGCAACACCTAATTCTCTGCAGCCTTTGAATTCTTGTAACTGGATACCTCTGCTTCAATGAGGTGGAGGTATAATTCGTGATTGTATCGAATTCTTCATTCACTGTTTTCTAGGCCCAGAATTGTCCTCAGAATCTTCATCTCGAATATATTTACATATTCTTTTAGTTTCTGTGTCCACGTTTCGTAGCTATACGTAAGGATAGGTCTTATTATGGTCTCATGACTTTTCCTCGTATCTTTCCCTCCTCTCTACCAAGACTTGTCAGCTCCACCCCAGATTAATCTAAAATTGCAAGTGTCAAAATTGTACAAGAAAGTTGTTGTGACTCGCTTCTATAATGTTCAATTAGCATGATGTCAATTTGATCTTGTGGTGTCGTGATGAGTCGGTATATCAGAAAGCCAGAATGCTCCATCAAATTCATGTTAATCCCATTAATGCGTATTGAGAATCAAAATATGCTGTACTATTCATACTTTGATAATAACCAACATTGGGTTTAAATTTTCATTCCAAGAATGTTCTCTTGACATTTTATTGGAAGATTTTTCAATGTAAATCAAAGTCAAAATCAACATGTCCGGAAATCATCATAAAGTAAGGTATCATTATCAAATTAGATATCATGAGTCAACATTACCACAACTTTTTGCAAAATCGCTTGCTTCTGCAACACTTTCACTTAAACAAAATATGTTATCATAAAACTACAAGTATGTATATTTCTTACAATTTCATTATCACAATTTTTAAGATATCAAAAATATCATATTTGTATCCTCAGTATGAATTCTTGTGAACGTCATCATACGTATGTATGCATCACTAACCTTATCTGGAAGCTCAGGTTGATTACTCATCATTCCAATATATCCAACATTACAAAATAGATATAATATACAATACTCATATGCGTTCTTGTGTCCTTTAAAAGCCGCAGTCATAAATTGCTAATATTAAACAACCAACCTCTAGGCTAACACCTCACAGGTTAAATCAGACAAGCATCCAAACATAATCTTTTTCTGTAAAAATTACGCTGACTTCGGCAGCAAAAAAAGGCTGACTTCGGCAGTAAAACTGATAAGTGCAGTTTTAGGTTAAGCTTTTAGATATACTTTTTATTGTATATTTATTTGTATATTTTTTGTACGCTATTGTTGCGTAAAACTTGTAGATAACATAACTCGTCAGCCATAGTTAATTAAACATATCACGTACTTTACTATTTGCATTAAAATGTTTATCATTTCATAAACAACTCTGCAATCCAAAGATCCTAATTAATCTTGCCCAATGAACCATTCATATCTTTGAGGGAAATAAACTGTGCTCCAAATGCCTCCTATTTAATACATTAATTAACTGCAGGACAGTGGCGTAAAACGTATTGTGTGTTTTTTGTAACGTTTTGTACCCTACGTGTAAATAGTAGACCCTTGTAAAGATCCATATAAGAAACCATATGCTGATTCGATCAAGTTGCTATGTATTGCTTTGATTATAGACCTCTCTACATAACTTGATGAATTAGTCAACAGTAGGCGAAGTTTTTAGTTGATCTAAATAATTTAGTACTTTCTTGGCCAAATAAAAGTGATTCTAATTGCTGAGTCGGGTGCCAAAATCGCTATAACGTAGTCTGCTCGTGCTAACCCATTTACTGCATCACCGTTATTTATATTACATCACTATTTATTATCAAACTTCATTTATTCTTCTCTTTCAGTCTTCAATAAGAGCCGACATTATGTTTACAACACCTAGAGAATATCTCGTTTATCTGTAAATTATTTTATTGCCTTGTTCTTAAGTCCTTCATCTCAGAATGATCTTAACTCCCATATTAATAGCAAATAATTCTGTCTGGATTACATACCGAAGCTGTAAATCTGTTAACTTTTAATCCATTTGTGAGCAGATATATATGTACCTTAATCTATTATTAATCCTAACCTTTTTCACGGAATATGATACCAAATACACAATTCCCTTCGGGTCTATATGAAACAGATTTCTATGCATTTAATTTAGTACATCATAGTCTGCAATTACATTTAGGCACTCATTAGACATAAGTGCCCTTGATACAGTATCTGCATCTACCCTTCGCAGTATGTACTAGTTACTGACCATAGTTCTCGAATGCATGAGTGGAATCAGTGTTTTCAATCACATTATGATGTATTGTTGGTAGTGCAAGTACAATACTCGATGATCCCTCCTACGTTCCTTGTAGCAATTATTTAAACCTGTTGACATTTCCAACCTACGTAGTTTGAGGACCATGTATTTTTCAGTACTGCATAATGCATTCTCTAGTTAACTCAAGCGTTTATAACGTACATATCCAAACTAAGTAAATATTGAAAAATACTAACATTTTATTTGTGGAACCTTTTAGTCCATTAAGAACATCAGAACTGTCTACTTCACCTATGTACTTAGTTTGTTAATGTAGTATTGTAGGGTCTATAATAGTTGAATCTATCGACGTAAAAATCCTTTTTGTGGTGTTTTTAGTTTGTTATGTTTTAAAATACAGAACCCATTAATATTTAAAAATATGCAGGATAAACATCAGCCGGAAATGTGTTAAAGCAATCTTACTAAAAAAGAAATGTCTTAAAGAAGCTTTAGATTCATTACCCCTCTTAGTTTTCTTCCTCATCTTTTCAGTATCTATCAATATTTACATTTTCCTACACCTCGTTAGCGTCCTTAACACCACGTTATCCAAAGCAAGAGGGGGTTGTTGATAAATATACACAGGAAATTCTTGTCTCGTGAGATTTAAAAAAAACCCTTAGGCATCCTGAACACTCCTGAAATCATCTCTCCTCTATCGGAAAGTCAACGCACTGAAGGTAGAGAAGGAAGTAAAATATCGTATAGTTGGCCTGGGAGCGTCGCGGTGCATGAGGGGGCGTCGTCGACGGTACAGTTTCCAGTTGCCATGGAAACGTGCCAGACCGGATCGACACGCCACGTCCGGGGCTGCTCATGGCCTGTTTGCTACACCCGGACTCCACCACCCCCGCACCGAACTTTACGTATTGATCAAAGAGTGCGTGAGCTGTGGATGTGTGCCAGCAAGGCCTACCGCTATATTACTTTTTTATTCGGTTAGTCATCGACTAAAGTAAATATTATATAGGGAAAGTCTTCGTTATTCCGGAAAGGGGGTTACATTGGGGTTGGGTTGACCGCTTCGAAGGGTCTCTGAGAAGGGGCTGAGGTTGCTTTCGAGGGGGTTGATGTAGGACAAAGAACTCGGTACGCTAGTGTTGCGAATCGATCGATTCTTTTCTTTTGTCTCTCGAAACGTTTTCTGTTTACAAACAATTCAATGAATTTCGTTATTGTTATTACAGAACTTTTGTTTTTTTTTTTGTTTAAAATAAGAGTAGGTAGAAAGAAACTACATTGTTTTTTTTTTCAATTGTTTAGGTAAATCAAATCTGGCAGATCTTAACACATTTTTAACAAAATACAATACATTATTAAATAATAATAAATAATAACCAAACCACATAAAGACTTTTCAATTCCTTCTTTCTCTACATCGATTATTGCTTAAAATAATTCAATAACGCATTTTAATGTTTAAAACTTTCATTTATAGCGTTCTTGTTCAAATTAATACCGATTGATATAAAATTGATTATTGAAAAATTATTGATTTAATCTTAATTCCATTATTTCTCATTAATTAATAATAAAAATATAATTTTTCTTATGTTTGTTTTTAGAATGTGGATCATAAATTGAAATTCCGTTCAAAGAAAGGTCAGCTTCCGTTCATTGAATTGAACGGTGAAGAAATAGCCGATAGTGCCATCATATTGAAGGAGTTAAGCCAGCGTAACGTTGATTTGGACGCAGCTTTGACAACCGAACAACGAAATGTTGCTCATGCGATGATCTCGATGATCGAAAACCACCTAAATTGGGTTGTTATGTGGTGGAGGACAAAATATCCCGACCAAGTACTCAAAGGTTACAAGGTTAACTTGCAACACGCTTTAGGAAGCCGATTGCCAAACGGAATCCTAAATTTCTTCTTTAAATTCGCATTCGGAAGAAAGGTGAGTTTTTAAATTTTTTTAAATTTATTTTCTAATTTCATTTTGAATGAATTCTCGATTAGATATCATTCTGCACTTTTTCTTACATCCTGTTTGGTTGGTGAATTTTTTTTTTGTATATAGATTGTTATCTACCTACCTGGTAGTTCTTATTATTCTTATTTTTTTTTAAGCATGCACTTTAAACCCATTTATTAGTGTCATCGTCCTATTTTTAATTCCATATTCATACTTTAGTGGTTCCAGGGTGCAAAGAAAGTCAAGGCCCAAGGAATGGGCGTACATTCTCCTGAGGAAATTTCCAAATTTGGGCAAGACGATTTGAAGGTGCTTTCTGATATGTTGGCTGATAAACCATTCTTCTTCGGTGATGAACCAACCACGGTAATAAAATCTTTCTTTTTTATTTTTCGACACTAATATTTTTTTAAAATTATTTTTAGCTCGATTGTGTTGCTTTCGCAAATTTGGCTCAAATTTATTTCATCGACAAAGAAGTTAGCTACACATTGAGAGAATACATGACTGAACATTGTCCGAACTTGGTTGGTCTTGTTAACCGCATGAAAGAAAGGTGCTTCCCAGATTGGGACGATATCTGTACCAATTTGGATTTGAATTCTCATTTACCAAAACCACCAGCAGAAGAAACGAAAGAGAAGGAAGGAAACAATGATGAAAAAGAAGGGGATAAAGATAAAGAGTTAGAACCTGAAGATAAAGATCCTGAGAAGGAAAAGGTAAATGAAACTGAATAAATATAGATAGTATTTTTATGAATTTTAAAATATAATTTCTTATTTAAAAATGGAAATAAGCTCAAGATAAAAAGAATAAATTCATGAAATAAGGAATGACTTTTAATATTCTTTTTAGTAATAATCAAGCAAAAACGTTTTTGTTGCACAACAATATTAATTACCTATTGTTGTATATTTCTTATTAACTTCAATTTGAAACACTTTGGTTGATTTCTTTCTTTCCTTTTTAAGGAAGAAAACAAAGAATCTTTCAATTTAAATTTCAACACTAAATGATATATCTTGGCTTGTTACAATTAAGATTTAAGAAATTTTTAGATTAATCTTTAAGTTTCAATCGAAATATTCTGTTTCATTTAAAAGTAATGTCTTTCTTTAGATTGTTCAATTCTTCTTACAGTTTATCAACTAGTTCAGTGTTTCTCAATATTTTCAAACAAAATAACCCTTTTAGCTAGTTCGTTTCATTGATGGCCGTTTGGCATACATTTTAAATGAAAATCACTTCAGAAAGAAATGTGTTATGAAAATTGCCCGTTTTCGAGCGTCACTTTCTGACTTGACTATGGTTTGAAGTTGAGAAACACTGAAGTAGTTATTAATTTCTTGTAATTAAAACGTCTAGAAATATAAGTAGGTGCACATCAACATAAAAACAATAATCAAATTTATAACTTTGAAATCTAAATTTTATTAATAACTATGTACAATGTGAAACTTGGTATGTTGCTGTACTAACTGCCAATCTGCAAATATTATTATCTTTATACCAAAATCCTCAAAAACACCTTAAAGTGCTTCTTCTGAGGTAGTAATTTGGGAAAACAGTAATAATTACATGCTACCAATTATATGATTACAATATTACAATAAATTGTGTTTGCACTTTTCAAGTTTTATGAGTTTAACGAATTGACAATCTTTGATAGATGAACCAATACTGCTTGACTTTCTGATTTCCACATACAATTCAGGTTATTTCCAAAAAGAAAATTACTTTTTCTTGAAGTTGAAATAATCTTGCTAATATATTTCCTTTTGAGAGACTTCCTCATGAAACAACTTTTTCTTAACATAATTCATCTATTGTGCATCATGTTAAATATGTATTCTGAAAAATTTCGTTCATCAATGCGATATTTTACAGTAGCAGTATGCTCAGAATGCGGTGTTTGTAAAAAGTTTTGTTTACTTTCTGGTCTAAGAGTACATCTCCTGGTTCATGATGCAAAATTTCGTAACGACCTCTCTAATATATAGCTTTTCTTGAGCGCTGCGATAAGTTTGCCAAAAATTCATGCGATGTTTTAAGCGCATTTTCAGATTACTAAGCGAAACATCCAATACTATCCAATTTTAAAGTAGGCGCACATGTCATTTTCATACGACTATATGTTTTAAAGGCAAAGAGTTGCAACCGTTAAAAATATGTAGGATCGCACATTTGCACCAACCTGGATTTTTCAGGCACTTTAATAAATATCGCATGTTCGTGCATGTATAAATTTGTTCATGTGATTCTTTCAACCACACGACAGTGTTGAAGTAAACGTAGTTGGTCGCATCTTTTTAATCGCTATGATTATTTAGTTGTATATGCGTATTTACATTTAATTTTGCGGTTAATGCTGTTTTATTTTCGCAAAAAAATCAGTTTAATATACAGGGTGTATCTAAATTGATGCGAAAGATTTTAAGGGGTGACTTTTCAATGAAAATTAAGGGGGTCTTTCATATAACTTTTTGTTCAAAATCTCTTCTCCTCCAAGTTATAGCCTTCTAAAATTAAGGGAAAAAATCTGCAACTTTCTTATCTCTTGACATTTTACAACTAACAAATTGTTAGCTTGATCACAAAAAATAAAATAATGCTGAGATCAATTTGACATAATTTAATTTTTTTGACTAATATAACTAACTAAATAACCAATTTCTGAATTAATTCACCTGAACCTGTGTATTATTTTATTTTTATGTGATTAAACTAACAATTTTAGGAGAAAATGACAAGAGACAAAAAAGTTGCGTATTGAAGCTCTTTATTTAAATCAAGTTTTTAAAGAGAAAAACGTTGAACGTTTTACGACACATTAAAAAGTTTTGACACAAAGTATTATAGGGGTTGATTTTTTCACCCCCTTGTAATAACATTTTCCGGTTATAAAAATCGTCAAAAAGTGTCATTTTATTAGCAACAGTTATCTGCCAAATTTTATCCTTTCAAATTCCTCCATAGTGGATATATTAAAGAAAAGCAATTTTTCCCCTAATTTTAGAGGGTTGTAACTTGGAGGAGAAGTGGTTTTGACCAAAAGTTATATGAAAAACTCCCCTAATTATTTTTCGCTGAAAAATCACCGCTTAAAATCTTTCGCATCAATTTAGATACACTCTGCATACACAATTTAAGCAATGCAGTAAGTATATGTAATCACGTAATGTGTGGGCAATTCACATCTATACTTATGTCAGCAATTCCCGTGATATCATCCAAATAAGGTAATTTTAGCTTAGTTTTCTGAGGTTCCAGTAATTTCTGGATGGGATTGAGAATCAACTAAAGAAAAAAATATTTGTGGGGATTTTAATATAAATACTGTAGATGCTAATTCAAACAGAGGAGTGTTTAGATATGTATTCTTTAGTTATCAGTTAAGACTGCTTTTCACTCAAAGAATTCCCTTTTATTGAAGCGGATGGTCCAATTATTGTAATCCTTTTTGCAGTAATTTTGTATCTAGAGATATGTTTGGAAAAAAAATTGTCTGTAGTTACAGTTCTTCCACAATCTATAAATGATTCTATGAGTTTCAACACAACACATTCAGCTAATGGGATTAACATGTGCTTATCTTCATCTTTTCTGCAATGTTGAAGTGCATTTATAATGTTCTTACTTAATGTTCTTGTCTGCTGTTAATCAGGATTTGATGCCAAGTTTGCCTGGTTTATTATATCATATATTGGGTAAATCTACACTTTGTTTCATTGGATATTAATGTTCATCCACAGTAATTTTTGCTCCTCGTTTATAACAATTTTGGCTGTTCTTAATGATTTTATACCATACCTCAGACATCAAGCCCAATTTATCTCCTTTCAGGCGTTGACTTTCCAACATTTTTTGATCCCCACTGATATGTCTACGAAATTTTACAAAACAATTTCTGCAAATGCATCTAATTTCGCTCATTCAATTTTCACAACTCTATTTGTTACTTCTATTGTACATATCATTGTGCTTATGTTTCACAATGTGGTGATCAATAATTAACGAAAATGCAGTCTTCATTTTACCTTTTCTTTGTATTAAATTTTGCATATCCCATTGGACGTTGATCTTCTAATTAATACAATACCTGCAACCGGAAATTTTACTTATGTTGAAATTTCAATTCATAATTCATTCAATTAACTATTTTTGAGTACTGCATAACAGCCTTTGTAAAATATGCTATAAACTCATATAATACGCAGAATGGGAATGCGTATTAAATTTTCGAACCCATATGATTTATCTGGTTTATTAGGCATATAGTGACAGCTACATCTTGATTCATCGGACGTAGTTGTTCAGTTTTATATTTCAAAATATGTGAACATTTTTTATTTGAAGTAGAATAATAATATTTAAGCAAACTTAATGAAAGCACTAAATACTATGTTATTGGTAAATGCTTCTGTTGCGGCCTTGTAAACTTCTATTCGTGCCATTTAAGGTGAAAATAAATCAGTCTCATAAACTAACAATAATAAAGAATTCTTTAGAAGAATTTTCATTAATATTTCAAGATATTGTTACTATTGCAGACTGAGAGTTGTAGTAGCACAAGTAAAACATTTTGCCGGCCCGCTTTGTTGTACTTCATTGGATGTGAATTGTTTCCACGAAATTTTCATAATCAACTTTCCACGACGCCGACGGTCTGTTTGCCGCTCCGCTATGTTTTTAGCTTAATGCTAGATAAACGGTGATTGAGAGTCGTAGCGAATTAAAACATTTTGTTCACCCGGTAGTCTAGCAGTCAGCTCCTCCCCGGCTAGAGCCCCTCTCCTCTAAAAGCATAAGTGCGAAATACGTGTAAGAAGTACAATATTTGTAAAATTTTGCTTTGAACAGTCTTTTATGAAATGTTCCACTCCGGCGCATTCATATCATTTTCTTTTTAAATTCCCTTTAGATAAATGCACAATATTAATCATACAGGATTTCAGGATGAGTATCTTTTAATTTTAGTTTAACATCCAGAAGAAAACTACAACTCTTTACAAAATCAATCGTTATTCTACGTGTTAACTATTTTAACTCTTTGAGCAGTAAGTTGATTTATAGCACATATAGCTTGTTTTTCTGTATAATACGTGTCAACTTTCCTCTTTATGAGCGGCCCTGTGAGTTCCAGTATAGTGCCTGTCTCGTGACATTGTTGTGCTCGGTTCTTAGTATGTGTGCAACCCATTTTCATTTGCTTTTCCATATGTATAGTTTCATTTCCTCTTACTTCGCCTGTCGTAGGAGACCTTCATTTAGGATAAAATCAGACGATTTTATTCGTAATATCTTTCTAAAACACTTGTAAGGAATACTTGTACCTTGTTCTCTATGTATATTTTGTGTCATCCATGTTTCGCTTCCGTGCAATAAGGTAGATTTTATGTTGGCGTTTAATTTGCGAAACTTGGGTTTTCTGGATAGTTGGGAGGAGTTCCATATGTCCCTTAAAATTTCAAACATTTATCCACGTCCGCTTCTGTTTCCCTGTCTTTTGTTACCGTACTGCCCAGGTAGCAGAACTCTTCGACCTCCTCTGTGTTGTAGCTGTATATTGTAAATGGTTGTGTGTTGTCTGTGTTGATGCAAATTCATGTTTTTTTCATATGTCGATGAAGGTATATGTCATCAGCATACTCTAAATCATTTAATTTCTTTAGGAAGTCCTACTTTATACCGTTTTCCGCAAAATCTGCTTTTTTTAGAATCCAATCTAGCACAATACTGAAACGGATTATAGCGGGCAAATTCCTAAGTGCATGACCTTTACATATCTACCTGTTTTCTTTTTTGAAATTACAAATGCGTATTTTATTTTCAAAGAGGTAATCACAAAGTGGAATATTTATGTACCATTTATTAATAAATAATCTATGTACCCAAATAATCATGTACCACAGCTTTTATTACAGATTTTCTCATGCCATTAATGTTACAACTTCTATATTTGCTGCTCTCAGTGTAGGCAATATTTCAAATATAGGCAGTTTTATTTCAATATTACATCAAATAAAAGTTTTTATTCTGAAACTATGTCGCAATATTATATTTTATAGAAAGCCGTTATTTTTTATGCGTTCAAACGTTTGGCGATATCAGTTACACTAAAAGTATTAAAAGAAGTTTAATCGACGAACTGAATAATAAAAAAGAGAAGGAGATAGAAATATGAAATATTTACGCACACACATAAAGACTCAGAAGATTTTCGTAAGTTTTTGTGATCATAACTGAAAAGCTTTATACTACTAAATATCTATACTACTATACAGGTTGTTTCAACACAACGTTTAAACAAGTATGAGTAGAATATCGGTTCAAGTGGGTATAAGCGCACATGTTGTTTGAAGAACACTCCGTGAGGAGCTCATTTACCTTTGCCATGTCCAACATGTGCAAGCCCTCACTCCTCTAAATTACCACGCAAGATTCACATTTTGTTTATGGTTTTTACGGCAAGTTGCAGAACGTCCAGACTTCTTAACTGACATTTTTATTACTGCTGCCATGCTGAGGGGAGTGGCCCCTTTCGTCACCGCGACCTATGAGATCTATTGAAACTTAAGCCCTCCAAAGGTTTAGGGCAAATCTAAGTCCTTGATGAACCTTAATATTGCTCCAAGGTCTTGTTCTTTTATGTATATCAGTAGATGTCATGCAAGCCTTTCCAAAAATTTTGTTCTTACCTAATGTTGAACAGATGGTATTTTAGGGGCGTATGGTAAGGTCGGAAAACCTGAAACCGACCTTAGGCTCCCATTGCTAAGGCATAAAACCTCTTCGGTTTTCTTTTACCACGCAGTTAGCGTACTCTACGTTTGTCTGTGTCTTGGAAGTTCTTTCCAGCACAAGGCTACTTTTGAGTCCTCCCATGTATACCAGGCAAGGTTTTTTTTTTGTTGAGGCTCGCCCTTGTTCCATTGTTCCGTTCATCTAAACATGATCTTATATCACTAGTCGAAATTATATTCTGTCGGTATATGACTCGTTATAATTTTAACTAACTTTCACTTATGGAGCTGGTTTTACCAGAAATATTCAACTGATGAGAATCTTCGAGCCGTTGTTAAAACCAGACATCAAGAGCGTTTTCATCTAAACATCTGATTAGTCATCATTGGGAATAGGTTGCTAGAACCGATTGTTTTGCCACAACCATTACACGGTTATACATATCATGAATTTATCGTTAATTCCACACTTTAGAGCTCCACCACACTTTACGATTTGTGTTAGGGAATATTTAAATAATACATTTCCTGGGACATGGATAAAGGGGGTCCCATTGTGTGGCGTGCATGATTTGAATCATGTAGACTTTTGTTTATGGGGATATTTAAAAGGGTTAGTTTATTCGACACTCCTGAACCATCTGAAACATTTGGGCTAAAGAATAGAACATGGATATTAAATGGTTTGTGAAAATGACGGGTAGTTTGAAAAAACACGGGCTTCCTTTTAACGTGGAACTAGAAATGATGTTGCAAAGCGACATTTTAAACATCTTCAATAATAATTAGAGCATGTTGCAATAAAACCATAATAACCAATACAGAAAATTATTACTGTTTATTATTATTATTGTGGTAATGTCTCTACTAACATTTTTAAATAATAATAACGGCACTAAATAACGTTTAATTACACAAAAATTTTATTTTATTTTTGACAGAAAATTTTAAATATCTATAATAAAAACATCAAAATTATTATTGATTTTTATTTTCAGGCTGATGAAAAAGAGAAAGAAAAAGATACAGAAGAAAACAAAGAAAAGGATACGAAATGAACGATGAACCCTCGTCCTTAAGAAGGGCTCACTGCCGAATCATTTGTAATACCATAAAACACCGTAACAAAAAAATTCATACAACCTGACTTAGTAAGTGTATTTTTAAAGTTTGTTTTTCTATCCAACACTATTTTCTATTATTATTCAATTTTCTTTGTATTCAATACTCTTATTGACCCCCCTTTATTTTTTAAATGTCCTTTTTGAAACTATGTGCAAAAAAAACAATTAGATTTTAAGTATCATCCATATATATACATAATATATTAATAATCACCATTTTATAATAAAGAAAAAAATAAGATTGATGAAACAGAAAAACAGGATTACAGAAAGTCTTTTTAAATTTTAAAAATTTGTTTTGTTAAAACGATAATTTATGTGTTTTTTTAATTTTAATTCTTTTTTTTAATAAATAGTAACTCTCTATATGATATAGTAAACTATTATAGTAACCGATCAAAATGTAATAATAACTATTATCGTTCGTTCATATTTTTTTTATTATTATTATTTTGTGTATAAATAATTTTAGCTAGATTTTTTTAAATAGAGTTATTATCGTCCCAAAACGTGTATTGTAAGTAATCATTTCTGAGTGTTTTCCTTTTATTTTCATTCTTTTGAAAACGGAGGTGATAAACGAATTTTGATAAAACGAAAAATCGTGCATAATTTTCGTGTAAATAAACTCTACCGGTACACTTTTTGCACGATTTTTCGCAAAACGGACCTCTGCCGTATAAAAAAAAACGAACATCAAAAGTAGAAAAATTAACGATAAAAAAACAATTTTTCAAAAAAAAATTATACATGTTAGTGCAGGATCTGTGTAATAATAATAATAATAATGATATTTAATATTTAATAAGACGAAAAAAAAAATAATAAAATAAAAAACGGTGTAAAACTGTGTAGAGCATCTATTATTCTCTATCTTCATTGTATTATTCATTCCATGATATTCTCTCTTTTCGACGATTTTTAATAGGTGAAAAGTGAAATGAAAAAAATCGAACTAATGTGTAATATTAAGTAGAAAAAAAGATCAACACCTTCGCTATTGGGCCATTTTTCATTGTAAACAAAAGTTATAAAAAAGGTCCATCGTCCCAGCAGTTTGTAGATTTTTGTATTTTTTTATTAACAAAAAAGACTATGTTTAGGATTACCCTTCCAAACAACTCTATCTCTTTGTCTAACACGTATATATACGTAAACAAAAAAAACGAATACAAAACAATTTTCGAATATCATATGCAATCATCTTATTTTAGTGTCTTCTTATCACGTGTAATTTTTTGTTTTTTTTAACGATTTAATATTATTTTAGATATTTTTTTTATATATATTATAAATATAAATATATTATTATTTTAGTTGCGTATATGTGTTATAATGTAAACGGTCAATGATAATACTTTCTTTACTTTTGGACGCTCAATCGATGTCATCAGAAAAAGCAGAGTTACAACAGCAAAAATATGGAAAAATAAGAAAGGTTTTTTTTACAAAAAAAAAAGAATAAAATGGATAAGTAAAGCGTTAGAATTTGGTGATTTTATTATTATATAATAGCTACTATAACGTGCGTATCTCATTAAAACGTCGTCGTGGAAAGCGAGCAGAGTTGGTAAATTGTCGACGGGAAATGAATTTATACGTTCTTTTATTAGATTTTATTATAGTCGTAAGATTATTTGATGTTTTTCGAAAGAGGTAATAAAGAAAAATTAAAAAAATAAGATCCGTATGTTGTACGCTATTACTTTTAAAATAAATAAATTACTGCATTTTATTGTATTAATAATCTTTAATTTTCTTATAACTTATTTTAAATGTGTTAAATAATAGACAATAATTTGGGATTTTATCTAAAGTGGGATATATCCAGAAATATGATGGATAAAGTAAAGAGGAAATCAATATTTCTATAAAACAGAAGTTGTAATCTTCATTTTTAGCAGCTTATTCATTACATTCGACGAGACAAAAACAAGGTTTTGAAAATGAAAATATAGTGGATTGCTGGCACAAGCTGCAAAACTTCTATTAGATTTGTGTTTGTAAAAGATTTTATTTATAACAAGAAGTTCTAGATAGATAGCTTGGTTTCTTCTGGTTCTAGTAGACTTCTCTAATATTAAAAAGAAAAAGGACGGCCAAAGTATCATAATTCAATATTACTAGCATAACGGTGTAAATATTTTTTTGTATACAGACCGTCGCGTAGGTTATAAGATATTTCAATAAGCAAGATACAACAATATTTTTTTCAAAGGATTTAAAAGTAACAAAAATACTTCGGTGACCGTCTGCCGAATTAACGAATTATAAGCGCCACAGTGCCGAATGTCTTGGAATAATTTTTGTTCCAAGACTTCCACATTAGTTATGTTTTATTCGAACTGCAAATTATCATCATATGCAGGTCCAGTAAAAAATATTTCAACATCACAACTTTGTCAAGCCGTTCTCCAGGCGCTGAAGGTCGTGAAAACGGTGTTGGCTCTGGTTAATGATTGTAAAAGAACTTTAAACATACTGAGTTGTGATAAGAGAGGTTCTCTGATCTGGGTCCCAAGTCACTGGGGTTGCTGGCAATGAAGCGGCAGATGATATATCATTTGCGATGGCCAAACATAGGATTAAACTGGGGGCTGAAGAAAGATTTCGCCTACTATGGACCACTTCTCCTGGAAACACGCTAAGTTGTTTGTTAACATCACCACTGTCAAACCCGGGAATATTTTAGGACTTGCTCATAGCAGCATTAAATTTTCCAATGGGTGTTTTTACTTGGCACTGCCGATTAAAGACACACCTCAACTTGTTGGCTCTAGCCGACGATGTTGCCCTGCTGTTAATCGTATCAAATTCTCGATTTTTGGGTCGCAGCTTATCTTTCCAAAGGATCTGACCGAGTTTTCACCGAGTAAGACATTAAGGTTCGTTAAGAACATTGGACTGCACGGTGAAATTTTATAATGTTATCTATCAGGGTACGACAGATCCTTAAGATCGTGGTGCAAGTTGGTTGGTTCGCCTACCCCATATATAATTATTTGAATGTAATGGAGAAAATAATAAAGTGAATTTGAATTACACTATTGGATTACTTATGGATAAAAAACCTTTAGTGAACACGGAAAAGAACTCGATGAACAGTCTGTTTGGTATCGTTTCAATTGGCTAAATGAAAAACTTGCTCCAAAGAAATACAATGCAGCGGAGGTTCTACTAATGGTGTTTATACACATTTAATAGTTATTTATATACCAAGTCAGCAAAGTGATGCTTTATTTATCGAGTTTGAGTTTGCGAGGCGAGTAACAGGCGAGTTCGATAAAGACACTTTGCTGACGTGTTGCATACAACGTTTTATCGCCAACCGTAAAATTTAACAATATGAAGATATTGTAACTTACCAATATTATATGACATGTGACAAACGATTTGTTTTGTTACATTATGCATCAAAGGTCGGTAGTATAGTGGAAAGGGAAGTGCGGTTTCATGTAGAAGGTATCCGGGTTCAAATCCAGATGTTTTACTGCATTTTTGTTAAATATGCAGCAATTAGCGGCAGGTAAAATACTTTTTGTAAATCGCGACGGTAATGAAAGCTATAACAGTACTCAAACGGGTGTTGTAATGAGATTCCTTACAGCATCCGATGCTGTAATGAGATTTTAGTAACATTTTATGGAACCAGTTCAAGTTGGTGACATTGGGTCATTAATTTTTCTAGTTGTCAATGTGACAATTTTTGTCTACGGATGTTTAAACACGTTCTTAGCATCGAATACAAGGTCCACAATGATGAGAACATTGAACTCCGAGCAATTTCTCTTACTTTGGGAGGTGTACATGAAATATTCTTTTCAGGTGAATACATTTTGTGTTTTGACAATTTCTAATTGTTAATTCAAATTTCTAATTTCAAGTGTTACGGTGTTACCAAGTGCTACATACCTATTTCCCTACATTGTCAAAATTTATTTTATTTTTGTTAAAAAAAAAGGATAAAAACGCGAATTAAAAAAAAATAGCATAAAAAACACGTTTCATAAGACTTAAAGCATTCATTCATTAAAAAACTCGTGGCTTCACTACTCGTTTTCAACTTGAATTCGTGCATTTCAAGTGTGTCTTACGAAACTTGTTTTTTAGTATACTATTATCTACGACTGCTTGGATTAGTCATCATTATCACACTCATTAGAGGTGATTTGAATTACGTAATGAAGTTCATTACCACACTGGTTTCATTACGTAACGCATTTTTAGCCCAATCAGAACAGACTTAATTTAATTTATTGAAACGAGCAACAATACAAAAGATACCTATTTAAAGAGAAACAATACAATTTATTATAAACATTAATTGTTATGTTTTTACATTTCTAAACACTTATTCCAGATGAATAAACATGTTATTGAAACTGACATTAATTCAAAATTGTCAACAATCATTTCAAAATATTTTTATAAATGTCAAAATAGACCTTTTTAAAGAAATTGATTTTTAAGTAAGTTTTGCAGTCGTAGATAAAATGTTGTATACCACACGTGGGCTAGAGCATAATACACGACTCGATCGACAACCTCGTCGTACAATTCTCCACACTTGTACAGTAATTATGTTTCTACCCCACTTATAATATATACAGGGTGATTTATAACATACAGAGTAGACTAAAGGGGTAGGTACTAGAGGTAAAACTGAAGAGATTCTCTTAATAATGTTTTGTTAAAAACTTAATAGTTACCTAGATATCGCATGTTAATTTTTTAAATAATTTAACGTTTTTTATTTAGCGATTCTCAAAAATGGAATCGCTGATATTCAGTAAAGAATAATTAAAATACTTGTCCGCTGCTAAGTAACCAAATCAACTGGATTGGCGGTAATAAATAAAAATGGTATTAGCGGTTCTCAATAAATAAACAACACCGTTTGAGCGTTTTAACAAATTTTTAAATAGCCGTAACTGCTATATTACAAAGATTTTATTATTTTTGTTACTTATGCATTGTTTAAGTAACCCCAAAATATTCGCAGTTTGAATCTAAACGAAGTGTAATACCGTACATGATAAGATATGCTCGGCCATTAATTCAACTTTAACCTTCTATATCTTTGTGATTATTAAGTTGTGGTCAAAACATTATTAAGAAAATATCTTCAATTTGGCTCCCAGTACTTACCCTTTTAGTCTGCTCTGTATGTTATAAATCACCCTGTATGTATAACTATTACCTGCCGCTAAATGCACAGTTTACTAGACAGTAGCACAAAGTATCACTTTACTGCCGCAAATGAATAGCATAAAGTATGCTTGTGCTGCCGGTTGGCAATAAAAGTAATTTATGGATGTGTTCTTAAAACAAAGAACTGACTGATGAACATACTGTACTTAAGCAAAGTAAGCTAATAAATTCTTATAACAACATAAGTGAAATAGTTTATCAGAGAAGAAGATAAAAAATATAACCCTGGAATATACGATAAACGGTTTAGTGTAATTTTCGACGAATGGATCTGTTGAAAAATGTCAATCTTTAATGGAAGAAAAAATTAAGTGATGTTAGTTTAAACATTTTTTGCTATTGCCAACCTCTAGCCTTTGCGGTCGGGTCGTCCCAGTCATTTGGTACCAGGTTCGTTTCGGACATCGCCTTTTGAATATCCTATGCCCAAGTAGATTTTGAACCGACTTTTTTTCTTAACTTTAATTGTCTTCTTTGCACTTTGTCGGCTATTGTTACTAATCCGCATCCATACAGCCATACATACTGTGATTAATTTCGATCCGAGGTATAAAGTATTCTTCGCAAGTTTTGATTATGGCGTAATCGTTCAAAATTAGTTTTTTTTTCTGCGCCCACGCAGATACTGTGCTTTTGACACTAGTTTTCAATAGTGTTGTTGCCCGTGATAGACGAGAAATAAATACAGAATTTCAAAAAGAAGAAGAAATTTAATAACCTACTTAATACTACTACCTACTACTTAATAAGCTACTGATTCTTACCTAGCTATTAAATGAATACATTTACTACTGATTATGAGTCCAAATCCGATCTATGCTAATACCTCGTTCAAATTTGGAATTTTATAATATGTCTCAAGAAGTCAAAACTCAAAAAATATTGTAATAATGAATTATTAATGAGATCTTCGAGATTCTTCTTTTCGATTTTTAAAATTACTTATTTTCATAATGTCAAATGCATTCATGTGCATGTGTTTTTGATTATCACCTTCTGATTATTAGAAGGTGATCCTTCTGAAAAATGTAAAGGTTTTGTTGACCATTATGACCATTATGTCCATGTGTTTCATCATGTCGAAATCATACTATACAATATGATGACCAGTTTCACGTTGTTATAATATTAATCACGGATCTTCGGCCTCAAGCGACCTCCGCTTAATTAAAAACCGAACGAAAAAAATTAGTTAAAAGATTTACAGCTTCACTTGTTTACAGCTGTTTGCGACATTGGTGCCACAATATGATGATCAGTTTCAGGTTTATACAATATTAATCACTAAGCTTCGGCCGTAAGCGCTTAATTAGTCAAAATATCTACAACTTCACTTGTTAAAGCCAAAGCCGTTCGCGGTCTAGGCGCTTCGTTTTTGTACAGCTTATAAATTGTCTTTATATCGAGCTTCGATTCTAGGTGTGTTTTTAGGGTGTTTTCTCCCTACAGTAATGTATTGAATAATGGGGGAATGAATTAATATGTTTTTTAATAATACCAACCCATGTAAAAAGTTTTCCAGATATCTTTAGATAGGGAGATTAACGTCGAGACGTGACATTAGTCGGCAATGCCTTGCTCCCGAGCCGATCTGAACAGGAACTAATAACTTTTACCAGTATCGATGACGTTCCATTAATCACTGAAGATGAACTAAGGTAAGTAAAATAATGCAGAACGAAAAATCGTATGTCCCAGGTGGTCACTGATTTAGGGTTAATAACATTGAATCGTTTCTGGATCGTTTCCACTAATCACAAGCTAAACTAAAAATTAGGGACAAACATTCAATTGATGCACAAAGCATTGCCCATAGCTAATAACGCTTCGACTGAAAATCCATGTTCTTAAACTGTCACAGTATCACCCAGCACTATTTCTAATTATGAAAAACGATTAGATATAACATTTGCAAACAAATTTGCATTTAATTCTATATTTGAATAGGTAAGTAAACGAATTGGAAAAGTAAATATTTGTTATTTAGTTTAATGTCTTCATAGAAACACAATATATATAAGGTGGTTCCTAAATGTGCATGAGATGTGCAATGAGATGTAAGTAAGAATCAGTTTCATCATATACTCATCAAAAATTCTTTAAAATTGAAAAGAAACTACTTAACAGATGTCGATATTCGAACTGATTTTGTAATATTTTATTAAGATTATTCATGTGTACAGGATTTTCTAAACAAAAATAAAAAATACGTAATAGTTTTAATACTACCTTTATATTAATAAATACTAATTGGAATGAGCACAAAAATTTACACGCTACTTTTATGGCAACTATTACCAACGTTCATTCAAGATATCTAAGATTTCTTAATCTTTCATTATTAATTATTAGAAAGTTGGTTAAAGTTCCAGGCAGATAAACTTAAACAATAAGTTTGCATAAAAACTAACATTTTCTTAAATTTAACTAGAACATTATCTAGTTTATCTACACAGAAATATCCTTCAAGGTTTTTTAAGCATATTTCTGATATCACAGAAAATATTCTTTGTAGTATTCGACTTTAAACATAACTTATAAAAACATTCCATTTTAACGTACTCAGACATTTTTTTACTCGTAAAACTGATAATAAAAAATATATAACATTTAAAGAATTTTTTACATTTATGATATATATATATTTTTTTCTTTTCTGAAATCGCTACATTAATAGAAAATTTAGAAGTTTATTACTTAATCTCACTTCATTTTGACAAATCGACTGGCTCTTATTTGCCTTATTATTGTCGCCACAATTAAAAAGAATTAAAAAATATTACGTTAATGCTTTAGTCCATAAATTAACTATTCTAGGATAAGAATAAATCTAGCTTTGTTATACCTACACATTTACAGGTTGTCCAGCTTTTACATGGCGGATTTTCTAGAAGCCAAAAAAACTTAAAATTTTCTCAAAAATTTTATGATATCATAAAAGTTAGATAAAATTTTTGTTTTGGATGATTTTAAAAAAATTCTCACCACTTAAAAGTAATCAACCTGCACACTCCTTACCCTAACATACAAATTTACTGATTTTTTTAAGGTGTTTCTGTTGGTTTTGTTGGTCGAGTCGCTTTATCCCGCTTTTCTTCATCCCCGCCTAACTCAGCTTCGTTCGTTGGTTTACCAGTTGTACTTTTCCTATCATTCTTTACATCTGATTTTTTATCGCTACCTATTTTATCATCTTTTACATCTTTCGATTCTTCTTTAGACTTTGTTTTAATCATACCATCCATTTCTTTAGACTCATTATTTCCCTCTTTCGTTTCGTTTGAATCTTTTGAGTTCTTAACATCTCTTTTATCTCCATCTTTAGATTTTTTGTCATCATCGTCTTCTTCTTCCCCTTCATCTTCATTTGATTCCGATGTCTTTGGTGGTTTTTCTGTTTCATTTACCTTTATCTCACTGCTAATATTTTGAGAACTTTTAGGGGTGGATTCGTTATGGATTAATGATGGAATTGGTGTTGTTTTTGAATGAGATGAAGTTACGTTAGGAGATGTTTCAGATGATTCTGTTGACGATGAATTCGTACCTACAGCTGTAGTGTCTTTAGATACATCAGTTGAGTTTTTATTAGATTCATCTTTAATCTCGTCTTTCTTTCCATCAGATAATGACGTTGTTGATGCTGCAGTTGTAGATTCATTTTCATCTTTTTTCTTTTCTTCAGATGGCGACGATGAAGATGCCGCAGTTGTGGCCTCTTTAGAATCATTTTCATCTTTCTTCTTTTCTTCAGATGATGCTGCAGGTGTAGTTTTTTCTATTTCAGTTGTGCTTGAGTTAGAACTTCCCAAACTGGTTGTTTCTTCAGTTGAGTTATTTATCGAAGATGAAGATGTAGTTTCAGTTTGATTATTATTTTTATCAGGTGTTTCTGAAGATGACGAATTCATACCAGCTGGAAGTTTGCAATGAGCATATTTCGGGTCATCACAAACGCCCAATAATGAATTGTATTCTTGACCAACTGGACATGTCATTTCAATCTTTGTGCCATTTACACATTGCAAATATTTTCCGCATCCGTTTGGACTGTAAAATGTTGCTGCTGTTGAATTATCAGTGGGACATTTATCTTCTGATGATGGAGGAGTTGAAGATGCTAAAAAAAATTTAATTAAATTAAAAGAAAATAAAAATTTTGAATTAATTTACTTGGTGCAGTTAAAATCGTTGTTAATTTTAGAAGTGTTATAAATAAAATTATTGGAAAGCCTAAAAACAGAAGTGATAATTAATTGTTTTTCAGATTATCTTATGATTAATTTTACCGTTCATGATTTTCTTTTTTCGTTGAGATGTAAAAATTATAAAGCGATGAGTATAACTAAATGTAAAAAACCAAGTAACACAAGTTTATATACGTAACCTAGTTGGAATATATCTCTTATCGCTTTAAAACAATGCAAAAAAATAACTTGGCGCGGCGCAAAATATAAAAGTGTAGTATTCTTTTTAAATTCTTGCCATGTTAGTCACAATAGGTTACGCCAATAACTTTTCCATTATCATTTAACATCGTTCGACTAACGCACAAAATATGATTGCCATTCAACATGAACAAGGTCTTTTCTAGAAATTACCGTTTATTTATATTTTATCGTTAAGTAGCAATTATAACATTTAAATGTATGTTTCAAGTTAAAAACTTAAATAAAACCATTCTTTATTATTATTACTCGCTGAAATAATTTGGTTTTTATTGATTTTGAAAGTTAGCATGTCATTTAACCATTTTGCAGATATAAATGAACTCGCTAACCATGGATAATGAACTTGGAAATAAAATCCAGACGATTTCTTTAAATTGGAATGATTATTAAGGTTTTTATTTTTATAGAATCAGTGGTTCTAAACTAATTACTTTTTGAAATTGTTATAATTATAATTTTTAAAGAAAATTTTAAATCGATCTATTCTTTGTGGTTTTCCATTAATGTTTAATTCATACAAAAATTTTTCGTCTAAAATAAATTCTCATTGATTAATTGAATAACATCCCCTAGGAAACGATAAATCAAATTTTATGATTCATAATAAATCTCCCCATATAGTTTACTTCCGAGATGGGGCAAATCTCCCAAATTAAACTCTTAGAATTGTTTAGTGCCGCTGATTTTTTCTTGCGCATTAACATTTCTGCAATGACGTGCTGCACCGTTTGCCCTAAGGATGGGAACCGATGGAGACTTCGAAATGGTTGATTAAATCAGTGCGTGACTTTGTCAAATGAATAATTCCGTGACCAATTATTATTGCCGGTTTTGGAGGGATGAAGGGATCGGGGGGATATTTCAACTGGCGCATATCTTTTACAGGTTTCCATATAATATTATTGAAAAGACAATAGGATTGACGTCTTTTATAATTTCCGATCCGTTAAAGGAAAAGTTTTATTAAAAAAGTTTCTTGATTAAGTGTTTAGTATTGGTTCGTGGTGATTAATTTTATTGACTTAATTAAGTTTTTGGTTGATTTATTGGTGTTCTTATTAAGAGATAATATAAATTGATAAAATGGCAAGTGAAGAAGAACTTAATAGGGTATGTAATGATGTGTAATTATGAATAATAAGTATTATAGGAATTATTGCGTAGCTAATTATAACTTTTCTACAATAACAAAGAATATTACTCAACGTTTAGCTTATCTAAGCATAGCTTGTAATACTTGTTAGTTTGTTATGAGGAGAAATAATTAAAATTTTTAAGTTTGTTATTTATAATTTTTTATATGAAACAAGTTAAAATAAAAAGATAATAATCATAGAATTTTATAAGATATTGTAAATATAAATAAAAAATCTAAAAATAGAGAAATGGTGGAGGCGTTGGCAATAAATATCTTCAACCATTCAATATCATTTCATTTTCACTAGTGTACTGGAGAGGGCGGAATGCTGTAGGTGTCACAGACTTTGAATTTATACATTGTACTGTAGACTTAACAAAAATAAAGAAGTAACATTTAATACAATACGTTACTTTAGCAAATTATAATACATTGAGGTTGAATTGATTATTTACAAATACTTCAATATTAGTCATGTTAAGTTCTTCATATAGTTAATCATTTCACAAATACCAGAGTGCGTCAACATTCATTGTTTTGTAATGTTTGCAGTTTTCTAATGTTAATTCTAAACGCATTAAAGCAAACCGGGCACGCGTAAGTCACCAGCCATCTGATTAAGGTATATTTGATTTTCAAGGAACTTTTCTTATTAATAATTGGTTATAGTTGTTTTAGTCGACCGTTTTAAAAGCCATTTCTGTATATTGCTAACAGTAATATGATTCATTGTTAACATGTCGTCTGCAAATAAGATTTTTCATTGAACCCTTACCCTGGTTTATTGTGAAAATATTAAACAAAGTTAATTTTGAGCATACTTCCGTGAAGGACTTCAACACAAGCATAAATCGGAACTGTTTGAAGGCTATAAAAGTACTGTATAGTGCCACAACAGAGACAATAAAAATAAATCAAATCATATCAGAAAATTTCCCAACTACTAATGACTTGTTATAAGAATACTGTCTGTCGTCTACTTTGCTCAAGATATATGTATATCTTGGAGTGTGGATAAATGATTCCTTTTTATATACTTTACTGTTCGCAGACGACCAAGTCGTTGTTGCTGCAGATAGAGAAGATGCACCATACATGACAAGAAAACTGAAAGAAGAGTACGAATTCTAGGGTCTTGAAATAAACAAAGCAAAGACACATTATTTAGCGGTGGGAGCAAACACGGAACGATTGGATATAGACGGCTGCCAAATAAGGGGGTGCGTTTTCTTACCTGGGGTCTTTACTCAGTAAGACTCCAAATTGTGAGACGAATACAGCTCATATGATGGTCTAAAGAGATAAGGAACTGCACTGAACATAGAATATACCAATCTATAATAGAAGGTATTACATTGTATTGTTCTGAAACATGGAACATCTCAAAAAATATCACTGTATAGCTGCAGAATATCTCGACTTCAGCACATTACAAATAGTGCCATTGAAGAAATAATGAATGCAGGGAAAGATAGCGATATAATAGACAGAATATTGAAGAAAAGGTTGACATGGTATGGCCATTTGAACAGAATGAGCGAGAATAATTGGCCAAAAAGGATCTGGAGGTGGATTCCGTCAGAAAAGCATAGGAGAGGAAGGTCCCGGGGAATATGGGCGCAGATCGCGAAGAAGGCGATTTTAGACAATTGTCCACGGATGATACAGAGGATAGAAAAATTTACTTGTTTGTTGTGAGAAACGGTGCTGTATTGAACCGCTATGGTGATGATTGAAGGAACACTTCATTAAGCTTCACTTAAAAATTAAGAAGATAAGAAGTATGAACAACACGAATGTGAAGAAACAAAAATGGATGAATTGAGACAACTATGGCGGAGTTATAAATATGTAGTAAAAAAGGAATTAAAAAATCGAAAAGTTCACGGTGAAGATAGATTAACCGCAGAAATGATAAAATATGTAGACCCATGTATTGCAGGTAATGGAAATAGAATATCTAAAAAGAGTAGAGGGAGTTACGAGAAAGGATAAGATTAGGAACAATGACACATGCAAAAATTTAAATATCGGGGCTGTAGGCGATATTATAGAAAAGAGACAGCTAAGTTAATAGAGTCATTTACAGAGTATCTAAGATACAAGGTTTTGAGAAGTGAATTGTATATGGCTGACAAGAAAATAAGGAAGTAGTAAGAGGGTAAGACCACGTCAAATTTGGAACAAGGCATTAAACGACATAGTTATGAAAAGAGAAAAAACTGTAGTGGAAGCAAAAATTTAGCTAGAAACCAGAATGGTTGGACTAAGTTCATACACGGTAAAGGATTGCCGGACAATATGTATATGGTGCAATGAAGAGAAAGATTTAGTGCATACACTTTACGATAGATTGTGTATTTAGCTGTATTTGGTACATATCTCTTAACGATACATCTAAATGTGATGTTGATCAAGGAAATTGAGAACCTTATAAAGAACGAGGAACAAATCTACCACCATTACCTAACCACACCTAATGTTCTACCCATTCATATCTTTGAAGATACAACTTGTATCCCTACCACCTACAGTAATTCACCTACTCAAGAGTAAACTTGTGTTTATGGGCATTACACGAAATTAGCTACATTACGATGTTCATGTTTACGATTTTTCGATGTTTTATTTACTGATGAATAGAATTACAACCAAGGAGTGTATAATCGCCATATCTAGAATTATTACCACTACGAGAATCCTCATATAGTGTATCTGTTACTCGCAATACCCGAATTCGGACATTGTCCGAAATTTTTACCTACAACGCGTTGTGAGTAAGCTTAAATGATTACAACGCGTTCTGAGCAATTTCTTTGCTCATTGAGTAGCGGAAAATACTCACAACGCGTTGGGTTATTTAGGTTTACTCAATATCTGTAATTAACCAATTTTGCACATTGTGGACACCAAAAAGTACCTAGAACGCGTTGTGAGTATTTAGCGTTTACTCAAAACACGTTGTGAAACACCAAAAAGTATCCACAACGCGATGTGAATATTTCACGGTTGCTCACAACACGTTGTGGCTATTCAATGTTTACTCAATTTGTAAAGCATCGCATGTAAAGCGTTGTTTCTAACCGAGGCACAACAAAAGTTTATTAACATAAAATGATTTCTTATTGAATTATAGCGATATGCCAAATTTTTATTTTTTTAAAATAAAAGAAGATTACAAAGAAAACATTCATCGCTGCTAAAGCTTCTACAGAAAATATTTTAGTAAATCTTATTATTAATGAAATGGCTACGAAAAACAAGAATTGTTGATGAAAATAGATTTTATGAAGGAGTGAACCTTAGAAGTAATCATGATAGTGACCACATTTTATTGGCAAAGAATGCTTTGGTTTTTATAGAACGGCGCGGCGGCGGGAAAGTACCAGCTGCTTATNTAGAATATCTAAGAAGAGTAGAGGGAGTTACGAGAAAGGATAAGATTAGGAACAATGACACATGCAAAAATTTAAATATCGGGGCTGTAGGCGATATTATAGAAAAGAGACAGCTAAGTTAATAGAGTCATTTACAGAGTATCTAAGATACAAGGTAAGTGAAATGTATATGGCTGACAAGAAAATAAAGATGTAGTAAGAGGGTAATACCACGTCAAATTTGGAATAGAATTACAACCAAGGAGTGTATAATTGCCATATCTAGAATTATTACCACTACGAGAATCCTCATATAGTGTATCTGTTACCCGCAATACCCGAATTCGGACATTGTCTGAAATTTTTACCTACAACGTGTTGTGAGTAAGTTTAAATGATTACAACGCGTTCTGAGCAATTTTTTTGGTCATTGAGTAGCGGAAAATACTCACAACGCGTTGGGGTATTTAGGTTTACTCAATAGCCGAAATTAACCAATTTTGCACATTGTGGACACCAAAAAGTACCTAGAACGCGTTGTGAGTATTTAGTGTTTACTCAAAACGTTGTGAAACACCAAAAAGTATCCACAACGCGATGTGAGTATTTCACGGTTGTTCACAACACGTTGTGGCTATTCAATGTTTACTCCATTTGTAAAGCATCGCATGTAAAGCGTTGTTTCTAACCGAGGCACAACAAAAGTTTATTAACATAAAATGATTTCTTATTGAATTATAGAGATATGCCAAATTTTTATTTTTTAAAAATAAAAGAAGATTACAAAGAAAACTTTCATCGCTGCTAAAGCTTCTACAGAAAATATTTTAGTAAATCTTATTATTAATGAAATGGCTACAAAAAACAAGAATTATTGATGAAAATAGATTTTATGAAGGAGTGAACTTTAGAAGTAATCATGATAGTGACCACATTTTATTGGCAAAGAATGCTTTGGTTTTTATAGAACGGCGCGGCGGCGGGAAAGTACCAGCTGCTTATTTTCTTATTAAAAGCCTGAGAGGCACAAGAAAGTGTCAATTTATTAAAAACAGTCTTAGAACTATTGCATGATACTTAATTAGTTCCGTTCATTGTTCCGTTACATTCATTAATTGGAATAATTTTTAATTTTTCGAACAGTTTGGGTTCAGTAATTTGTAACAAGGGAATATATTTATTTTTTTGATGCTTGCCATCATTCTTAAAATCCTCTCCCATTCTCTTAATTTACCCGTTTATATGTTTTACCTTTGAATGCTTGTAGAAATAAATCGTGTTCGTATTTAATACAATTGCTTAAGTGTGACTTTAAATGCCACAACAGTAAACCATATAAAAATAAATAAACATGTTAATATACCACTTATTTCTTTTTAATTTTTTAATAAAAAAATTTTAACATAAACAATAATAAGTTAAAAAAAAACAATTTATAGGTATGTCTACACTATACAGATTGCCCATTATGTATGGCATATAGTATATATCTTGGTAGGTATCAACTTTATAACAAAACATTTTATACAAAAGTTGTTTAATATTTTATTTGCCATAATAAGACAGCATTCAATTGTTTTTATTTCAGAAAACAAATGAGCAACGAATAACACTTGAAGTTTTTTAAATGGCAATGTACCCTTTCGTTAGGCTCATTTGATAGAGTTTTTTTTTCTCTTTACGATGACGTAAAATTTTAGTACTCTTATCAGAAAATTTTTGAAAAAAATGTAAAAATTGTTTATTAAGAAAATTTAACTAATAACAGTAATCTAGATATCCGAGATCGTCAAGTACCTCGAAGTACCTCGAATTATTGGAGATGTACACTAATTTTTGGTTTGTTTGTTTTATTTTGTACGTAAATTTAATTTACGGTAATAATTTGAGATCTCGGGTATCTAGATTAATGTTATTGATTTATTTTTATTAATAAACAATTTTTACACTTTTTTCAAACATTTTCTAATGTAAGGGTACAAAAATTTTACGCCATCATAAAGAGAAAAGTAATCTCTATCAAATGAGCCTACGAAAGAATACATTGCCATTTAAAAAATTGTAAGTATTATTCGTTACTCATTTGTTTTCTGTATTAAAAACAATTGAATGCAGTCTTATTATGGCAAATAAAATATTAGACAACTTTTGTATAAAATGTTTTTTTATAAAGTTGATACTTATCAAGATATATGCTATATTCCATACATAATGGGCATCCTGTATATAGATATTAACACGATGTTAGCCTGGGACGTTTATTGGCTGAAAATGTCCAAAATCGAAAGTGGCTAAATATTGAATAGCCACAGCACATTGTGACTAACCGTAAAATACTCACAACGCGTTGTGGGTAAAAATTTCGGACAATGTCCGAATTCGGGTATTGCGAGTAACATATCGATGGAATCAGCAAAACTGTAAATTTGTGTTGGTCTGTGAATCTTTAGAAGACTGAATGATAAGTCTTCTAAAGTCCATATTTTCTGCTTAGAATAGTGAGTGTGAAACTTACTTTTTACATTTACTAGTATGTAAAATTTTTGGCTACCCCGCTCTCCCAAGTTAATCCTAATAGATTTTTGGCTGGGGATATATAAAAAAATGGAACATTTTACTGTGCTAGTCAGAGTGGATGACGTTATTGTTTGGATTCACGAAGCAACAGCAAAAAATCATGATAATTATAATTATAGCTAGGAAGATTAGCCATAGGTCATAAACCTGTGATAACTAAAATGCTAACTATTTTGAGGGTTGTCTTAAATTTAAGGAATTTGTTTCCTTTGGTCCATGAAGTTTTAGGGAGTATTTTTTTTGTAATTGGTCTTGTTATTATAATTTTACCTGAAAAGGTTTCAATAATTTCTTTATTTTTGTCTTATCTTAATTTTAGAACATATAACCATGGTCAGGGTATATTGACTCACTCCGTATATACATTATACACACGTATAATATAATGTGTATATGTTACCGGCAATCTGTATAATCCGGTATTCTATACAATACCTAGGCAATTTATAGAATACTTAAAACGTTTAGGTAATATATGAAATATTATTAATTTTATACTAAGTATTCTATAAAATACCGAATGCTAAGCCGGCAATGTGTAAAAGGGGAGAACAGAAGAGAAAGAATTTTTTTACTTACTCAATTCTGAGAGGCCAGTAGACCTACGTCTTGTTTTTACAGAATTATTTTGTTTCCTAAGTTTTTAATACTTATTACTTGATTACTTATAAGCAAATGACATTATGCTAGTTAACCCAGAAAAATTTTAAGTTTAATGTAATTTAATTGTGATTGTACTATAGTTACAGAAACTTATAGATTATAAAAAAGTTTATTATGAGTAAAAATTGATAAAAGAGACCGAAATCTATTTATTTTACATATTGCTGGTTGACCAACAGGTACTCTATGTAATCCATAAGAATTGTATACATTACCTAGGTAAAGTATCTAAGGGACAATAATCTTATATTTAAATAATAAATATAATATTTCATACATTGCCTAGACACCCCAAGTATTTTATACATTACCTAGGCATTGTATAGAGTACCTGAATTATACAGATTGACAGTAACATATATAAAGTCTAGATACTTTTTAAATTTGAAATTGTCATAGATATTAGTAAAATTAGAGTTTATTTAATTTCATTAACACTACTTCTTTTAATATTTCACTTTTTATCCGTATTAACCAGCTTTGTTACATTTTGTATTTGTGAATCATGCAGTATTCTATGCAAATCACAACCTTTCATTCCACAGTTAACCTACATTCACATAAACTCATAATTTTCATGAAGTATTTCAAACATTTCAAACTCAATCGTCGTTCTCATTAATTTTTTTTAAATTACCTTTTTACTTCATCAAATCGATCTAAAAGAATCAACGCACTTTTCAAAACAATTAAATCGATAATATCAAAATAAAATATTTTTTTATTTTATATAAGCAATTTTTGTTATATTTTATGGCATTTCTTTTCCATTGAATTTCTTTAAAACTTATATGACACGATAAGAATTGATCAAGCGTAGTCTTAGCAACTTTCGTCTTTCGCGTCGTACGTCTACACGAAATCTATAAATGCATCATAATTATTTAAAGAATTCGCGAACGGAAGTCTTTCGAATAATCGTACTCAAAATCGGGCGAGTTTTCATTTTAATTAATCTTTCTTATCCCAAATATGGATGAAAAAAAATCAAATGAAAAGCAACACGATGGACAGAAAAAGAAAGGTGCTAGCATGTTGGTTTTACTCGGTGGTATTAGAAAATTGGCAATGCCAAGTAGATCTTTCAGTCAATCTACAGTGGATGTAAGTACAGAATAAATACAGGTGTCTCAAAACATTTTTTAGAATCTATTTAATATTTTTTAATCAAATTATAATTATTAAGTTAATAAATATCGCATATATGTCAGATATGTTAAAACATAAAAAGCTTAAGGAAATTTCAGTCCTTCATAGCTCTTAATGATAGCTTAAGATTTTTTTAAATGACTTAATTTGACACAAGTTCGTAAAGCCATAGATTTTCTCAACAAATTCGTGTTTACACAGTTCTCCACTTGTATAGCACATAGCAAATTAGTGATTAATTTGTCACTGAGTTTATGTTGCTCTGCCAATCTGGGCAAAAATTTCTCTCAATACGTTATAAATGCGCAATTATGCGCGTATTATGTAAGGACTTAATAAGTAAATAACATGCCATAAATATAAAGTCTGACAAAGACCTTTTATCTTTAATAAAGGAATGACAAACTTGATAGTGTTATTCGTCCTCATCTAGTTGAAACATCCTCTATTACAAAAAATAAAAAAAAAGCATAAATTTTGCTAAAGCACCTTAATTTTAAAATAAATATAAGAATTCGATATAAATTACATTTTTTGTTGAATACCATCTCATGTCTATGGTGAATACACCAAAACGCAATTACAATTTAACTTTGTACGTTTGCTCATGTGCATTGTTTTATCGCCTTATCTAGCGCCGGCTTTTCTAAATATAGATTCTCGTGCCAGGAACACTGTCATCTAACACTTCCATCGCCACGGAAAGGGCTTTGAAAATAAAAATCGAGTCCCGGCATGAAATGCTATGTATCATCGCGTGTTTGCTGAAAGTTGAAATTCAAACTTTCCCTCATCCTCAAATCCAAGCATTCCGTTTAAGCTATGACATTGATGAAAAAATATACGCCTCCTAAGGGCTGTCAAAAGGGCGGGTACCTTTTATTTAACAAAACCTTTGTCTTATTAAGTTCAGTTCAACACGAAACTTCAAAGAAGCCGGGAGCTTGAAACTTTATTAATTAAAATTTTGAATTTAACAATTGAAATTAAATATTATAGAAATGTTTGTTTTTGGACCACATACTTACGGTGATGAATCTGACGAAAGTGAAATTGATTCAGAAAATGTTACTCCAGAAATGCTCCTCCAGGTACATTGAAAAGAAGTTAATAATTTAGTTCTTTATACTTTATATTCGCGTGTTTGTTTGGAATAATTACTAAGTTTTTATTAGATGTCAACAGCTTGGCCGTAAAGAATAACTTTAAAACGCGACCTTTAAAAATCATTTAACCGTTGAGAAGTGTTTAAAACTGTAGGGTTTAATTTAATTTTTGCAGAGACGTCGCGAAGAATGTGAACGCAAGGCCAGACGTGGGGAAATGGACCCACGGCTGGAATTTGCCTTCCAGCTCTTAATAGACGCCACTGGATTGAGCAGACATGAAGTAATGGATTATGTTTTTGAAGCTGACATGGTAAGTTTAAAAATCATTAGCCATATTGTATACCAATTTGTTTTTAATTTTTGTTGTAGTTAGATGAGATAAATCAAATCTTTCTACCTAACATGCGTTCAAAATTAATGTGGTTTTATCAAGACGTTGAAGAAACTGAACCTCAAACATTAAGCGAATCAAAACCAGGTCCAAGTAGACCAATTGCTGGGGCAATTTCAAGACCACAAGCTGTTGTTGCACCAGTTACAAAGAAAAAGCTTTTTTTAACTGATGGATGGGAAGTTCCTTTAACTGGGTTGTGCATTTATATTTTTAGAACGAATACTACTAAACAATTACCAGAAGAAGGATTTCAAAAAGTTAACCAAATACATTAATTTGTTTCTCTTTCTTAAAATCGTCTTATTTTTAGGATTTATTTTGTGGTATTATTGATGCAGACAAAATAGGATTAGTAACAACAATAGAAAGAATAATAGAACACGTCTTTATGGAAGCTTTAGCACATCCCAGCACCGATTCCGAAGATGATGCTGTTAATTGTCCAATGGTAAAGAATCAATTATTACCAGGATTAAGATCTTTTTGTAGTGCATTAAGAGGTTGGTTACAACACTTCAAATATGTCTTAATATAATATTGTTTTTTAAGTTTGTGAAGAAGTTTGTGATCAACCCAATCTTTTTGACGACGGAGAAACACTTGTAAGCACTCTTACAGTAGAAGATTTAAAAGATATCACCAAAAAACCGGAGCTTATTATACGTTTAGAAGAAAGAATTAAACAATGGATTAAAAAATTATCTGAAATTTTAAAGGAAAGTGATCAAATTCGACGAGAAAATGATAGTTCAGGTATTTTATTTGAGATTGCGTAATTCAAATTTTAAAACTAATAGATAACTAATTTTTAGGTCCTCAAGATGAATTGGAATACTGGAAAAAACGTGGAGCGCAATTTTCACAAATTGTAAATCAAGTTCAAGAAAGAGAAGTTCAAATGTCGATAAATTGTTTGCAATTGGCACATTCGAAAGTATTAAAAGAATGGAAAGAAACTGATCATAAAATAACTTATTGTTACAACGAAGCAAAAGATAACGCAAAATTTATACAAGCGATGGAAAAAAATTGCCACTCTTTATACTTAGATGATCCGGTTAAAATGAAAGATTCTCTTTTAGGTTTACTCCAAACGGTTCGTTTAATACACACCGTTTCACAATTTTATAACACTTCCGAAAGAACTTCAGCCCTTATGGTTAAAATAACGAATCAAATGATTGAAACTTGTAAAGATTACGTAAACTGTCGAGGAAATGAAACAATTTGGAGTCAAAATCGCGAAGAAATGAAACAAAAATTAACGAATTGTACAGTTTTAAATCGGGTTTATCAAAAAACTTATGCCACAGTTAGAAATCAAGAAATGTCAGAAAATCGGAATGGTTTTAATTTTTCAGAAAATTATATTTTTGGTAAATTTAACGCGTTTTGTGGGAGATTAGGAAAAATAATTTCAATGTTTGATTTAATCGACGATTACACGCATTTATTTAAAAGAAGAATGGAAGGTTTATTAATGGGCGAAGCTCTTGAAGAAGCAATGAAAAAATTCGAAGAAATCAAAGGGACAGTTATGAATAAAACTTATGATTATTTAGATCAAAGGAATTCTGAATACGACGCTGATTATGAAACTTTTACTTGGAAACTCGATCAATTAAAAGAAAATATTGCCGAAACGATCGAAAATAATTTTGAAAACGTTTGGGAAACACCACAAGGTATTACATTTTTAACTCGATTTGAAATGGTTAGTGAAAAAATTCCTTTAACTAAAATGGATGAAAAACACGATCGAATACTAAAATATTGTGAAAAAGAAGTCGATAGACTCATTAAACTTTACCGCAAACAAAAAGATGATCCACCAGTCCCCAGAATGTTTCCACCAATCGCTGGCAGAATTAAATGGGCAAGATGTTTGGTTCATCATTTAGATGAATTATTAGAAAGTGTCACGACCCATCATATCTTAAAATCCCTTCCAGCAACAGTTGAATTATCAAAAAGACATAAATCAGCAAACACAATGTTAAAAACTTACGAAAATGATATGGTTGCAATCTGGATGAATCAACACGTTTGGGATGTTGATCATTGCTTAACAAGAAAACTTTTAATGATTTGCCCAGAACTACAAAGATTAGTTGTTAATTTACATCCAACAATACCTTTATTAATAAGAGAATCTGATTTAATGATTAAAATGGATTTACCAGTCCCTATGGTTGCTTTAACATTGTATGTTAAACAAGATCATTTTAATTTAATTAAAGATTCATTACAATTCTTAATAAATAATTTTATTGAAATTGTTAAAAGTGTAAAATTAGAAGTTCGACCATTATTTTTACCACACCTTGCAATATTAACGCGAATAATCGAACCTGGTATGAAAGAAATTACCTGGGTTTCACAAAATTGGAAAGAATTTGTTGATAAAGTTACCGAAACAACCGAAAATTTTAAAATCTTGGTAACAAGAGTACATGATGTTTACACAAATCGAGTTTTAGAAGTTTTAAAAAGTATGCAAAATGTTACTCTTCATGCCCTACCAGAAAAAGGAAAACCACCATGGACAGTTGAAACGTTTTGTGATGGTATTGAGAATATTTGCAGAACGGGTGCTTTAGAATTACATCGTAAAAGTTTAATGGTAGAAGAAGCGGTCGAAGAAATCCTTTCTTTAGTAAAGAGAACTAGAATTGATGGAAGTGATCCTTCAGAAGAAGATGAATTATTTCCGGAAGATGATTCGATCGATGGGCAAAATGATGCAGAGAGTAATTCAAGCCAACAACAATCTGATTGGAGCTTAGTTTATGAGTGTTTTGAAAAGCCTCATATTTTACTTGGTGGAGGTCTTTCGAAAGCTATGCAAGATATGGTTAAGGGAGCCGTTTCTGAAATGCGAAAATATTATAGTCGAAAAGTTATTGATGTTTTAATTCGGGTAACTCGACACAGTTTGGAAGCGATTAGGAAGAGATTTTGTTTAAGTGGTAAATATTTTTTCTGTGTTTTTAATAATATCGAGGTTGTTTTAAAAATATTGTGAAAATTTCAAAAAAAAAATTTTATGAGAATCAAAAGATTCTATCGAATCTGGTACCGCCAAGAATGTTACTAGAGGGCAAAGGTCGTGAAAAATGAGTTTTTTAAAATATTTTTCATGACAGTAACTGTTTTGGAAGTTGTTTAATCGCTATTTTATAGAACATATATGTATATCGCTATGTTTAAAGATGAATTTCTGTTAATTACAATTTCGAAAAATCTGGAACAAAATCTGGAAATGCCTATTTTTTCTGTAAATGGACTGCTAGGATTATTTTTACAAAAAATAACTTCTAACATACAAGAAAAAACTAAATATATGCCAAATAACGATAACTTATACATTTTTTACACTGCTCCGAACTTTATAATAAACTTTCATTACCCATTGGCTTCGGTTTGCTAAATAACATAGTGTTATTTCAGACTGATCACGATTGAGGAGTCGCAATATGTGTTAATTTGCTATGGAATACTATGTCATTCCATAACATCTTAGCCGTAAGCGACCTCGGCTAATTATAAGTTAGTGACAGATAATAAATTCTTCTTCGTCTCTGGCTCTACAGCCCTGGGTGGGCCCGGGCCTGCCTCAGAATATTCTTTCAGTCTTCCCTGTTTCTTGCCCTTCTTCGCCATGCTCTTACTCCCATTAGTTTTAGATCCTCTTCTACTTCGTTAAGGTCTCTCACAAGGGAAGTATCAGAACTGTCCCTCACCGATTTTGTTGAAATTTGGTACAGCGATAGTATGGCCAAAAATAAGGTTTACGTATTTTTTTATACGTGCTAATAAAGCCCCTGGGGCGAGTTATAAGGGTTGGAAATCGGGGCGAAATATATATATTCGCTTATAGGCTGAAAACGAAAATAGCTATCGAAATGTGGTAAATGTAAACTGATATTCATTTTCAAAGAGCTTTCCATTGATATATCACACATATATCTGAGGGCTTCAGGGGGTAAACTACCCCTAGTTTTTTGGAATATTTTGAAAACTACTCTGTCGATTTTGGCGATAATATGTGTCCTTATAGTACGTTTAAAAATATTAATGACGTGTTTTTTCTTATTTGCCTCTGACCATCCCCTGCAAAATTACGGGGTATGATAGATAACCCCTTTTCTCTTAAGAATAATGTGATAAACTGTAACACTTTTGAACAATGTTTTAAAGAAAACCATAAATTAGTTGTAAATTAAGATTTACGCAGTAAAATAAACAATATACGACATTAAGGGATGGCTGGGGTTAACTGCCCTAACCACCCCAAAAATTAATTTTTTTTGCGAAAATTGTTTGTCGATTTTGGTGCAATTTCCCACAATGATTTTTTTATACGTTAGGTAGTACTATTGTAAGAACTTACAAGGGTTAGAAGTTTGGGGTAGAAAATATATTTTCGCTAATAACTTTCATACTCCTACAGAAAAATGTTTTTTATCCTTATTCTATTTAAATAACACAAAAGTTAGGATAATTATATAAATATTTATTAATAATGAGTTAAAAAGTAACTGACAAAAGAATGGTTGACTATCACAAATTGTATTCTACATTATTAATTTAATTTCTTTTTTTTTACTTTTTTTATTCAATATATTGTTGGCAATAATGAAAATCATGGAAAAAATGTTTTAAACACAACGATTGTTTACACCATGCACAAGTTATAACAGCTATATCTCCACAGATATCGCACGTAGGTTTTTCATTGGAAAAGCAAACCTCCACGGGATTTTCAAACTGTTCTGGTCTCTCCTCTATATATCCAGATGCAAACCAGGCGTATTTAAAAACATTAATAAATCGTGGGGAAGACAACTGGTTATGCGTTAAGGATTGCAATTTTAAAATATTATCTCGCTGATGCAAATTGACATCGTACTGGTAGAGAATAACTTGATCAGAAAATCTTCTAATGAAATTTTTCCATATTCTAAAACCAAATACATCCAGGGGTTGAATTTGACCTGTTGTCCCTGCAGGTATAGACAAATATTTAAACTTAACATCCGATGGAGTTACTTCACTAATAATTTCAGGGCAGTGGCCACTCCAAGAATCCAGTAATAGTAATGATTTGGGTCCGGTGTTTGGGAAATAGACATTTTGTAGCCAATTTTTCATATGAGCAAAAGTCAGTTTACCAGACTTTGATGCCAAAACGAATATGTTATCTGCTTTGAATATTGTATTTATTACTCTCGGTCCAAACGTACCAGAGGATTCTTTTAAAACAATGTAAAGAGGAGAAAGTAGCTTTTCATTTGCAAATATGATAGGTTGAATTGTGTAGCTATGTGTTGTCGATGACACTGACTGTACCACGCTTTCAACGGTTTAACCCCCAAAACCCCTTTTAAATAAAAATAAATTAAAAAAAAAACCAATGTAGAATACAATTTGTCGTACTTAACCATTTTTTTTTTCAGTTCTTTTTAACTCATTATTAATAAATATTTATATAATTATCCTAACTTTTGTGTTATTTCAATAGAATAAGGATAAAAAGGCTTTTTCTGTAGGATTATGAAAGTTATTAGCTAAAATATATTTTCTACCCCAAACTTCTAACCCTTGTAGGTCCTTACAATAGTACTACCTAACGTATAAAAAAATCATCGTGGTAAATTGCACCAAAATCGACAAACAATTTTCGCAAAAAAATATTATTTTTGGGGTGGTTTATGTAGTTAACCCCAGCCACCCCTTAAAGTCGTATATTGTTTATTTTACTGCGTAAATCTTAATTTACATCTAATTAATGGTTTTCTTCAAAATATTGTTCAAAAGTGTAACAGTTTATCACATTATTCTTAAGGAAAGGGGTTATCTACCGTACCCCGTAACTTTGCAATGATGAGGCTGATTTGATGATCAGAGGCAAATAAGAAAAAACACGTCATTAATATTTTTAAACGTACTATAAGGACACATAATATCGTCAAAATCGACAGGGTAGTTTTTAAAATATTCCAAAAAACTAGGGGTAGTTTACCCCCTGAAGCCCTCAGATATATGTGTGATATATCAATGGAAAGCTCTTTGAAAATAAATATCAGTTTACATTTACCACATTTCGATAGCTATTTTCGTCTTCAGGCTATAAGCGAATATATATCTTTCGCCCCGATTTCCAACCCTTATCTCTCGCCCCAGGGGCTTTATTAGCACGTATAAAAAAATACGTAAACCTTATTTTTGGCCATACTATCGCTGTACCAAATTTCAACAAAATCGGTGAGGGACAGTTCTGATACTTCCCTTGTCAGTAACGGTCTCCCTAATCGTCTGGTTCCGACTGGTCTGTTCAATATTGCTATTCTTGTGGGTTCATCTTCCACCATTCTTATCCCCAACCCAACCACCTCCAATAGTTCATCTTCATTCTTTATATATCCTTGTATGGTTCTATGTCGGCATGATGTACACATATACTTAGACTTGGAGAAGTTTATGACCAGCCCCATATTTAGTACGGCATTTTTTATTTTGGTGAATGCCCCCCTTAAGTATTGCTCCGATCTTCCTGTAATCACTATATCGTCCGCATACGCCATTATCTGTAGACACTTCGTGTATATGGTTCCACTCAGGTTCACCTGTGATTCACGTATCACCTTTTCCAAGACAAGGCATCTCCTTGTCTTAATCCCTTGCTTATGTTGAAAGGTTTTGACAGTTGTCCTTGGGCTCTGATTACACATTCGATATCTTCCATGGTTAGTTTAACCATCTCTATGAGAGCTTGGTATCTCGAATTCTGTCATTGCCGAGTATAACTTTCGGCTACGTAGGATAGTTGCGGCTGAGGTACCATACTAAACACCGCGCCAATACAAAGTTAGATAACACAGATTGCAACACCATTCCAATACTTTACATTATGCCAATTTACATTTCCACACAAGATAAAGGTCGTATCGTCATTTTTGCATGATTCTAGCTAAATTTTAATTTCCGATCGGAGTTATCTTCAATTAATTCTTGCATCATCTGTTTGTATGGTTTAATTTAACACACAAGATTGAAAATGTAGGTGGATCTTCAATAAAGTTCTACATTGCATTTAATGTTTCGTTGTCATCTTTAACAGTATTTGGTCGACCTCTTCGGTGTCTATCTTTTCTACTTCAAATTTCCTCAAAACGCTTTACAGTTTTTTACCTTATACTTAGCAGAACGGTTTAGGTTGTATCATTGAACAAGTATGTCACTTCACTATAAGATGTTGTTCTACTGCCGTATCTTCTCATCATTGGTTATTCACTCTTTTTTATTAAGTACCATCTTAGAGAAACGAGATACATCGCAGAACTTTTCAAAACACATGGAAGTACTGAAAGATTTAGTTAATAATGTTTTAATGTCAAAATTACAGCCTACTAGAATAAATTACAACATATCTGGTTTATACTAAAAATTTGGTTTATTTAACAATCTTTCTGAATACATCATATTTATGATATATGTATATATATTTATGAAATATTATACAGGGTGTTGGATTTTTTCCAAATTTCGACTCTGAGGACCCATTAAGAAGTAAATTAGGAGTTTTTAAACTTATGTTTGAAAGTTGATGGTTGTTTCTAGAATTACATAGTTCGACATGTAGAGTTCCTCTAACTTTGATAATTCTTAACATTAATACGCTAATATGTAAAATTTTTGGTATTCTACTTATAATTTGGTTTATCTAGTATTACTGATGTTACAATTTGTTTTGAAAAAATAATTAACTTCGAGAGGAATTATTTATTATAAACATATCTTTAATCTTAGTTCACCAAATGTAAATTGACCGAAAATCATATATACTCAAAATAGAGATATTTAAGCCAAAAATTAAAGAATTCAATCAGTCATTGTTGCCCAAGCAGGTGATGCAGTACAGTTTTGCATCTTCCAAGAACTTTAGCAGAAATAATTTGGAACTAAATTACACTTACTTTCACTTTGTCGCAGTTATGTTATTATTCGAAACACACCTTATGAAATTTACACCAGTTACAATAAATAATGAGTTTATTTTGGGCTTTGATGGTAAGACTGGAGTTGAAGATGACATCAAATTGAAGCTTTTGATCGATTATTTCTTAAAAGTTTAAGGCTAACACTGACAATATGAATAGCAAGAGAGTTGCCAAATTGGTACGGTTAGATAAATACTTCTTACTAGCATATTCTGTATTCTTAAAAGTGCGCCACTAATGATTAAACTAACTTATGACTAACAATAATATTTTCCGTTTATTTTTAAAAAGTCTTTTGACAAAAGTTTAAAAGTTTGTAGACTCATCGTGTCTCACACGGTCATTGTGTGTTGCAAGATTACATTAAAATCCTTCTTGCTAAAGCTTGCTTGATCTAATTGGCATTTGCGACAATTCTCTTCGAAAACAAGTCGTTGTAATGCAATGTTTGACATATCAGGAGAAGAGTTAATCGGTAATCAGTATACGATCAAAGAAGAATTCTTAAGATTTTAATCATTAGAAAAGCTTGACGCTGAAGAATGATGAACCTCTGTTAATATATGTATAAGGTCCTTGAAGATTTTTCTACAAATCCAAAATGTAAGGCAGCAACAAGAACGCGAGCTAGTCACCGATGAGGAATCCGAAATGTCACATTTGCTCTGCCACCTAAGTAAACAATCTAACCAACTGGAAAAGTAGATTTCCTTATTTGTAAGACTAATATGTTTTCTTTATTTCTTCTTATATAAATTTCATGTAGATTTTAAATAAAACATCAATTACGCGTCAAATTGTTAAACATTTTATGCAGCCAAAATTTCGTTTAAGACTCAATTTCTGAAAAGCATTGTTTTAGAACAATCTCAAGATGGTCCAGTTTTCATATTAAACGCTGTTTTAATGATACCAAAAGTAGCTATACAACCACCATTAGATGACGTACAAGAAGTTCTCATATTGGCCGGTAAACATATAACTTCAGTTTCGAAAGGTGTTGCTCAATGGACAGGCGGTAAACCAAAGGTTAGAACATTTTTGGTAATTTAGATTTATTCTATTTTAACCCTTTAATGCACTAATTTTTATTCATATTAGTTGATATTGTTATGTTATCATAATTAATTTGTTTGTACGGTTTTATTTTTATTTATTCTCTAGATAACTAATATTGATTTCAAGAAATACCGTTTTTGCACTGAGATTATTATAATATAACAATATTAAGCCCTCAAAAAATGTATTTTGTAATAATTCAAAAATATAATAAAAAGAGCTTAAAGTGTGTTAAAGGGTTACTTAATAATAGAACTGATCAATATAATTAATTTATAATTTTCCCTTTTTACACCGTACACAAATTAAAAATATACTTACACTAACCTAATACACTTTGTATATAAATAAACTTAACACATAAAAAAAAACAATTCGCACCAAAAAACCCGCTTTTATTGTACATACACTCGCTCAAAAATAAAAAAGACACCACAAAAGGCTTCTGTTTGGAAACGATTGGTTGGTCCTTCAAACGCCTTAAAGGACATAGTGTCTCGTTCTCGTCAGAATTTTGGTGGGATAAACATCCCGAAAATGAAAGAAGAAGATTTCAGGGCTAGAAGAAGAAAGTTTTATCGATTGGCCACAGAAGAAAAACCAAGTTTTCCGTTTCAATGTAAAAACTTTTACAGTTACGTCATGGAAAATAAAGAGGTTGTAAAAACTTTATCGTTATTATCTACTTGTACTCAAGACATGAAGCAGGTAAATTTAATTTAATACATTTACAAATTTATGTATAAATATTTTTTTATAAAGGATGTCACAAATTTTTTGGCTGGATGGAAACCTTACAGTGTTTTGTGGAGGAATGAAAAATCACAAAGAGAACTTTTAAATAATACGTTAAATGAATTTGAATCATCTTTAAGAAAACACAGCGAATTAGACTCCCGATTATCAACTGAATTAGATGTTTTTCTTATTGGAAATAGCTTAGCAATTTCAACTGAAAAATTGAAATATGGGTTGATAACAGAAATTAAATGTTGTACTCACAAGTAATTATTAATTTATTCTAATATTAATATACAAAGTGCTACATTTAAGTAGTCTAGAGATAATCTAGAATTCTAGACTCTTTGAAAATTAATATTTTATAACTTTTTGTTTATTTACGTATAATCTGTATTGTTCTAATAATATTGTACAATACAATACACTTTGTATAAAATAAATCCAACAACCGTTGTTGGTAATTCTACCATACAGAAGTATACGAAAATAATCTTATTCATCAATGTTATCTTGATGTTCTTCTACCTACTAATTTATTACCCATCCTTTTTTTTTAGAATTGGTCAAGCAATGAAGAAAAAGTACAAACGTGAAATGGATTACGTTTACGCTGTTATAAACGAAATGGGAAGGAAATTAGATAAACCACTCCGCGATTTAGACGATGTAAGAATGATAATGGACACTTTGAAAAAAATTAGAGAACAAGAAGTCGATATGGATTTAAAAATCGAACCGATTGAAGAAGCTTTTAACGTTTTAACCCGTTACGATATAGAAATTGAAAGAGAAACTTTAGAACACGTCGATAATCTTCCTTACACTTGGTCAAAACTTCTCAACAAAGCCCAAAAAGCACAATGCAAACTTTTAGATATGCAACCGCAATTTCAAGCTGATCTAAAACAAAATTTGGAACAATTTAAAAAAGATAAGATCGATTATTGTAACGAATATAAAAATGCTGGGCCAATGGAAACTGGTTTGGCACCAAGAGAAGCTTCCGATCGATTAATTCTTTTCCAAAATCGTTTTGAGGGGATGTGGAGAAAATTGCAAACGTACCAAAGCGGTGAAGAACTTTTTGGACTCCCACAAACCGATTATCCAGAATTTGCTCAAATAAGAAAAGAATTAAATTTACTTCAAAAACTTTATAAACTTTATAACGATGTAATCGATCGTGTTAGCTCATATTATGATATTCCATGGGGCGATGTTAACATCGAAGAAATTAATAACGAATTAATGGAATTTCAAAATCGATGTAGAAAATTACCGAAAGGTTTAAAAGAATGGCCCGCTTTTTTTGCATTGAAAAAAACTGTCGATGATTTTAACGATATGTGTCCATTATTAGAATTGATGGCAAATAAGGCGATGAAACAGCGTCATTGGCAAAGAATTATGGATGCGTTAAATCATATTTTTGAATTTGATAACGAAGGATTTTGCTTAAAACATATTTTAGAAGCACCACTATTACAACATAAGGAGGATATTGAGGATATTTGCATTTCTGCTATGAAAGAACGTGATATTGAAGCGAAATTGCGCCAAGTAACAAATGAGTGGTCACTTCAAGAGTTAACATTTCAAGTGTTTAATAACCGTGGTGAATTATTATTGAGGGGAGATACAACCGCGGAAACTATTGGGCAATTAGAGGATAGCTTAATGATTTTGGGTTCTTTATTATCAAATAGATACAACGCACCTTTTAAGAAACAAATTTCGCAATGGGTGCATGATTTATCGAATACTAATGAAATTTTGGAACGATGGTTGTTGGTGCAAAATATGTGGGTTTATTTAGAAGCGGTTTTTGTTGGTGGTGATATTGCTAAACAACTTCCTAAAGAAGCTAAAAGATTTTCAAAAATTGATAAATCTTGGCAGAAAATTATGCAGCGAGCTCACGAAACACCTGGTGTTGTTTCATGTTGTGTTGGCGATGATTTATTAAAAAATCTCCTTCCCCATCTTCAAGAACAATTAGAAATTTGTCAAAGATCGTTAAGTGGGTATTTAGAGAAGAAACGAATGATGTTTCCAAGATTCTTTTTCGTTTCGGATCCAGCACTTTTAGAAATTTTGGGGCAAGCTTCCGATTCGCACACAATTCAAAATCATTTATTATCAATATTTGATAATACAAAGTTCGTTAAATTCCACGACATCGAATACAACAAAATGACGGCGATTATTTCATCAGAGGGTGAATTAATACAATTAGAAAAAGCTGTTAGAGCTGAAGGAAGCGTTGAAATTTGGTTGCAACAATTATTACTTATGGCACAAATGTCTTTACATTCAATTATAAGGCAGGGTTATGTTATGTTGATGGATTCAAATTTTAACCTTTTAATGTTTTTGGATAAAATGCCAGCACAAATTGGACTGTTGGGTTTACAAATAATTTGGACTAGGGATGCTGAGTTAGCTTTAATGCAAGCGAGGCATGATAAAAAAATTATGGCAGAAACGAATAATAAATTCCTCGAACTTTTAAATACGCTAATTGATCAAACAACGAGGGATTTAACAAAAATCGAACGCACAAAATTTGAAACTTTAATTACCATTCATGTGCATCAAAGAGATATTTTTGATATTCTTTGTAGATTAAACGTACGACATGTTAATGATTTTGAGTGGTTAAAACAATGCCGATTTTATTTTAAAGAAGATCAAGATAAAACGTTAATTATTATAACAGATGTTATTTTTTCTTATCAAAATGAATATTTAGGTTGCACCGATCGATTAGTTATTACACCCTTAACTGATAGGTGTTATATCACGTTAGCGCAAGCTTTAGCTATGAGTATGGGTGGAGCACCTTGTGGTCCTGCTGGAACTGGGAAAACAGAAACTGTTAAAGATATGGGTAAAACTTTAGCTAAATATGTCGTTGTTTTTAATTGCTCCGATCAAATGGATTATCGCGGTTTAGGAAGGATTTATAAAGGATTATCCCAATCGGGAACCTGGGGTTGTTTTGATGAATTCAATCGAATTGAACTTCCCGTTTTATCCGTAGCCGCTCAACAAGTCGCGGTTGTACTTTCAGCGAAAAAAGAAAAGAAAAGATCATTTACGTTTACCGATGGGGACATCGTTGAGATGTGCCCAGAATTTGGAATTTTCATTACAATGAATCCGGGTTATGCAGGAAGAAAAGAACTCCCAGAAAACCTGAAAATTCAATTTAGAACCGTTGCTATGATGGTTCCAGATCGTCAAATTATCATAAGAGTGAAATTAGCTAGTTGTGGGTTTTTAGAAAACATAACTTTAGCAAGAAAATTTTACACCCTTTATAAACTTTGCGAAGAACAACTAACAAAGCAAGTTCATTACGATTTTGGTCTCAGAAATATTTTATCTGTTTTAAGAAGTTTGGGGGCGGCGAAAAGGGTTAATCAAAAAGATACGGAAAGTACGATTGTTATGAGAGTTTTAAGGGATATGAATCTCTCAAAATTAATCGATGAGGATGAGCCGTTATTTATTTCGTTAGTGGCTGATTTATTTCCAAATCAATCGTTAGAAAAAACGTGTTACCCCGAATTAGAAGAAGCAATTAACGCACAAGTTGAAGAAGCTAACTTAATTAATCACCCATCATGGACTTTGAAACTAATCCAATTATATGAAACTCAATGCGTTCGACATGGTATTATGACCCTAGGTCCTAGTGGCGCAGGAAAAACAACTTGCATTCAAACTTTAATGAGATCATTAACTCAAATGGGAAATGTCCATCGCGAAATGCGCATGAATCCTAAAGCTATAACAGCATCACAAATGTTTGGTAGGTTGGATGTTGCAACTAATGATTGGACGGATGGGATATTTTCAGCTTTATGGAGGAAAACTTTAAAAATGAAATCAAACGAATACGTTTGGTTAGTTTTAGATGGTCCAGTTGATAGTATTTGGATTGAGAATCTAAATTCAGTGTTAGATGATAATAAAACATTAACATTAGCAAACGGAGATAGATTAACAATGTCACCAACTTGCAAAATAATTTTTGAACCCCACAACATTGATAACGCATCTCCCGCAACCGTATCTAGAAATGGAATGGTTTATATGAGTGCTTCCGGTTTAACTTGGAAACCAGTAGTGCGAGGATGGTTAAAAAAACGTAGCCCTAAAGAACAAGAAATTTTCGATAATTTATTCGAAATATCTTACGCGTCTTTATACACTTGGACCTCACAAAATTTATGTTTCGTTATGGATGTGCTTCATGCAAATGTAACTTTGCAAATATTAAATCTTTTGGAGGGTTTAGTTCCAATTCAAATACTCCCAGAAAAAGAACAAGCCTTATCAGAAAACGGCGAAGATGACGACTTCACAGAAGATGACACAAAAGAAGAGGAATTTAAACTTTTCACCGATGAACATCTCGCGAAATTATACGTTTTTGCTTTAGCATGGGGATTCGGTGGATTTCTAGAAACCGATGATCGACATAAATTCGATTCTTATTTAAAAGAAAATTTGAAAGATGAATTAAATCTTCCTATTAATAATTCAAAAAATCGCGATGCTATCTTATTTGATTATGTAGTCTCGAAAAATGGTGATTGGGAATTATGGAGTAATCGAGTCACCAATTACGTTTACCCAGAAAATACAACACCCGAGTACGCATCAATTTTAATCCCAATCCCAGATAATGTCAGAATCGACTTCCTAATCAACATAATAGTAAAACAACAAAAAGCTGTTTTATTAATTGGTGAAGGAGGAACAGCAAAAACGGTTATGATGAAAAATTATATGAAAAAATCAAACCCCGAACTTTATCTCATGAGAAATGTTAATTTTTCAAGTGCTACAACACCATTTCAATTTCAAAAAACGATCGAGAGTTTTATAGAAAAACGTATGGGAAACACTTTTGGCCCACCAAGTGGTAAAAAAATGATGGTTTTTATCGATGATATTAATTTACCAGAAATAAATTGTTGGGGTGATCAAATTACGAATGAAATAGTCCGACAAACGATGGATACAAATGGGTTTTATAGTTTGGAAAAACCTGGTGAATTCACCACGATAATTGACGTACTTTTTTTGGGCGCAATGGGACATCCCGGCGGTGGGCGAAACGATATCCCGGCCAGATTAAAACGACAATTTTGTATTCTTAATTGCCCAATCCCATCAGATGCTTCAATCGATAAAATTTTCACCGTAATCGGAACTGGATATTACAACATCAAAAGAGGATTTACCCCCGAAGTACGAAATTTAGTGAAAAAATTAATACCATTGACTCGAGTACTTTGGAAAACAACCCGATCTAATTTACTTCCAACCCCAGCGAAATTCCACTACATTTTTTCGTTGCGAGATCTCTCAAGGATTTGGCAAGGACTGGTTGGTACGTTATCAACAGTTATTGAATCAGAAGGTTGTATGATGGTTCTTTGGAAACATGAATGTACCAGAGTTTTTGCGGATCGTTTAACTGTTATGGACGATAAAAATTGGTTCGATAATAAATTATTAGGTATAGTTGAATCTGAATTAGGCGAAGAAATGAGAATTAAAACAGAACCAACACCAGTTTTTGTTGATTTTATGAGAGATGCCCCAGAACCAACTGGAGATGAAGGCGAAGACGCCGACATGGAATTACCAAAAGTTTACGAACCAGTTATCAACAATGACGAGTTAAGAGAACGTTTAGATATGTTTTTGGCACAATTTAATGAGATGGTCCGAGGATCTGGAATGGATTTGGTTTTTTTCCCGGATGCAATGTGGCATTTAGTGAAAATATCTCGAGTAATCCGACATCCACGAGGAAATGTAATGTTAGTAGGTGTCGGTGGGAGTGGGAAACAATCATTAACAAAATTATCTTCTTTTATTGCTGGGTACAAAACCTTCCAAATAACGTTAACAAGATCTTATAACCTTACTAATTTCTTAGAAGATCTTAAAGCTTTATATAGATCTTGTGGTGGCCAAGGGAAAGGAACAACATTTATTTTTACCGATTTAGATATAAAAGAAGAAGCATTTTTAGAATACTTAAATAACATATTATCATCAGGAAGTATATCCAACTTATTTACTAAAGATGAACAAGCTGAAATAATCCAAGAAATATCACCTTTCATGAGAAGAGAAAATCCTAAAAGAACAATTAACCCAGAACTCGCAATGGAATTCTTTATGAATAGAACATGTCAAAATTTGCATGTTGTTTTTTGTTTCTCACCAGTAGGTGAAAAATTTAGAAGTCGAGCTTTACGATTTCCAGCTTTAATCAGCGGATGCACAATTGATTGGTATCAACCATGGCCAAAAGACGCTTTAATAGCCGTAGCTGATCATTTCTTATCAGATTTTGCAATAGAATGCACCGATGAAATCAAAAATGAACTCGTACAAGCTTTGGGTTCAATTCAAGACATCGTTTCGATAACATCCGTTGAATATTTTCAAAGATTTCGTCGTGCTACTCACGTTACACCCAAATCTTATTTAAATTTTATCGCCGGTTATAAAAGTATTTATAAACTAAAACAACAAGAATTAAACGATGGGGCGTTAAGAATGGATACTGGGTTGGAAAAATTGGCTGAAGCTTCAGGATCTGTAGAGGTTTTAAAAAAAGATTTAGCTGTAATGGAAAATGAATTAGTTGAAGCTTCTCGAAAAGCTGAACGAGTTTTGACTGAAGTTACAGAAAAAGCGTTACAAGCTGAAGAAGTAAAAAATCAAGTTTTAATTGTGAAAGATAAAGCTGAGTTATTAGTACAGCAGATTGCTGTTGAAAAAGGAAAGGCGGAAGAAAAATTAGAAGATGCAAAACCAGCCTTGGAGGAAGCTGAAGCTGCGTTGAATACTATAAAACCAGCTCATATTGGTAAGTAATTAAATAGAAATTATTAATTACAGGTATTTTCAAATATAAATGAGAATTTATTAATATTTATTTAAATTCAATCAAATATTAATGTTGCAACTAATTTTTGTATTAATGATGAGTAGTAAAAAATGAAGAAAGTTGATATGCCTATTATGCATGCTACAATCTAAAATAACACAGATTTTAGTTCAACATCAACCAATTAAGTTAGTTATTACATACTGCGTCCTGAAATTGGCAACTGCTGTTATTAATATTGCTTCAGTTGTGAAATGTACAAATATATCATGAATTCACATAACATAAGTGTTCAGTGCACTAATGTCTATCATGTTATGGTGGTGTCTACAGCTAATTTAGTTCTGGTGTAGTCTATAATTATTTGTGGGTGCTTCTTTTTATCTTCAGAACCCTTATTGTGCATAATTTTCTGGTAGTGATCGCCAATATATTCACTTCACGGTAAACGATCACCGGACTGCGGCTAAAGCAAGAGCTGCATTGCAGTATAACGCTGCAAATCGAATGAAGCTCAAACCAGGCAGCAGACAGCGTTGGTTGTTCAACATCAAGTGCAATACGACCAAGTGGTTCAACCGTAATGGATCCTGCCAATGCAGATGGTATTCCCTTATTCACAGAAGATGCGCTGATATCAGCAATGAAAGGTACAAGTTCATCTGTCTAAGAGAGCACGTGTTCTGCGAACTGTGGAATATCTAACGGCTCGTTCTTATACCTAAAAAGAAAGGAGGAAAGCGCTATGACATTAGATCTTTGTGTTAGAGAGCAGAGATATGGCATTCTGGGATAGGCTTCTGCGTGTAGACTAAGCGACGCTTTTAAAACTGCGGGCAGGTTATTCGACAAACAAACATTTGATATTGTTGCTAGCCATATGATCAGCAATGATCACGACTGATATGGTCAAGCGAAATAGCATGGCTAAAAATAACTACTTTTATGACAAGTATACTAAGAGAGACGAAAAGAAAAATGGATACACTGTTTGGATAGAGAAAATGCCCTGTGCGGAAACGGAGGGAGTTTCCCGCTGGGACGAAAAGCCATCTTTGATTCTCGTAAGTCTATAACAGATTTAAGTGCGCTTAAATTAATTAAATCTCAGTTGGATCGAAGAGTCTTCTGCTGAAACATGGAAAAGAAGTAGAGTAACCTCTACTCCGAAGAAATGCCCTCAAGGGCGTCTTATTGTTAGAGCAAAGAGGGAAGGGTTTAGGCGGTCGAAGATGGGACCAACCATGGGTTTAAGGGCCGAAGTTAGCCCACAAATTTCTAATCCCCTCTGATTTATGTAATGCAGTTATTAAGAGTTATGAAGGAGTGCATTTTTATTGATACTTGATAGTATTAGTATATGGCATACACAGAGCTTTTCTGCGTTTCTTCTGCATTATCAACCACAGTGGTTGCTCTGGAAAACATAACCAAATGAAAATATCCAATGAAAGGATTGGTAGAACAGAGAAAAACTAACTGATAAATTAATTTGAGAGCTTACAAAATTTTATGGTTTGGCAATTGGAATAAATGGAGCTAAGTATTTTGATAATATACAATAATTGTTCAACACGTGTAAGTGTAGTTGGTATAAGTGGCACAAGGTGGGAACTGACTGGTTTCTTAATTGCTTTCGTTACGATAAGAAAGCGTACGGCAAAGATAGATCAATTTGCCATCTATTTTTTGTTGAAGATTTGTCAAAACTCACAGTTTTCTCTCAAAAATTAGTAGTTATATTTAACCGTAGCCATGGTTACGCATGGCTACTGTTGTTTTTCTTACTACTTTCATTCGGAACATTCTGTCTAAAATATTTTAAAGATGGCGGCCACTTCCGGTCTACCGGAAGTAGACCGTAACTTCGTTATTTTAAATGGAATGCTATAATTTTTATTACACCTTTTAATTGCACATAAAAAAATATGTTGACATTCATAAAAGTTATTGGTACCTAGCATTTTTCGTTTACGAGTTATATTGGTTTTGAGCTTTTTTCGGCGAATTTCACCATGCTCTTTAAAACCCCATATCCCAGTCAACGCTCATTTAAAAAAGCTATAAATTGGCACGATTACTCTTCAGATGCTGCCAAATACATTGTCATTTGTTGTATCAGAGTATGTTATACAGTGTGGTCAAAAATTGAATTACCGTCTCTCTATATTCAATGGGGAGAATGTCGAAAATTTTAAATGGAACGCTCCATATTTTATTAGCCTACCCGAAAGGGAGTTCAATTCTCTACAAATTATCTATAAACATATACTTATTTATTGTAGTTTCTCTCATTGGGAAATTTATCAAAACATGCACAATGACACAAAACATTTTGTTAATGAAAATATAATTTTTTTTTGATTACCACGGTCCAATAAAAATAATGTTTTAATGAAGTTGCGTGGATTTAGTTGCGTCTCTGTATTCTTAGAATCTTGATATGTTTGAATACATTGATTGGAATCATGATGTTCCATTTTAGATCCATTTATTTAATATACAGGACACATCAAAGTTTTTGATCATTACAGTTCTTACGTGTATGCAGATGATACACAATTACGTTACTCTTTTTGATTAGTTTAATCATTAGGGTTTATCGTGCTGAAAATAGTACTCTACTAATCAACAACAATTTTGAAGTTATAGAAATTTATAAAAATAACCTTTTTTGAACGCAGGAAAAAAACCTCTTTGTATAAATGGCAATTATTGATTAATTACCAACATAAATCTAACATAAACAAAATAATTAATAGTTGCATGTGTTTATTTTAATGGCAAGTACACGATTTAGTCCATGCAGTCACAAAATTTATGAACCGGATTAAAATGTTGTCCCCCCGGGCATGTCCCAATCGACGGATCCCCACATTCGTAGTATTTTGTACTATCTTCCGGGTACGGAAAGTTTTCAACTAGAATATCACAAATTTTAGAAATCGGATTAAAATGTAATCCCTCCGGGCATGACCTAACCACCGGTTCCCCACATTTGTAGTATCTCGTAGTATCTTCCGGGAACACAAACCAGTTAGCTAGAAATACAGAAAAACAAAGTAAAAATTAGGAATAACAAGTCAGTTGGCGTCGAAAAAATTGACAATAAGTAAAACTTACCTGTACCTACGGCATAGGCAATTAATGCCACGAAAAGAACAGAAAGAAACAAAACCTATAATTATACAAAATATTTTTATGAATCTTATTATGAAACTTTACTTTTGATAAAACTACTCTTTACAGCAGAAACGCCGCTCTAAAAGAACTGTTACCCGAGAATTACGCAGAATGGATACAAAACAGAAAAATTTGACATTTATTTGAAACTTAGAGAAAACAAAGAAAAACTTCATCTCATTAACTATTTTGAAGAAATATTGTTTTATGAATACCTTCGCTTTTCAAATGTAATTTGAAAAATGCCAAATTTAAAACTATTGGTCTAACAATTTAGAAAAGATATAAGAATATTAGTCAATGGAAAAAGTAACAAACTAGGGTGTCTCAAAAACGTAACCCAGCTTTCAGTGACTTATGGAGTACAGAAAAGAGTGTTCATACCAAAAGCGAAAAATTTTTGCAAGCAAGGAAAACATTAAAGAAAAGTATGTCTTGCTAATTATGGACAATGTGCAAACACACACGTTCTACAAAAAAAGGATGTAACTAGCTATGACGTAACATAAAGGAAATTGGAGAAGAAGAAAATGAAAACGAAGCAGAAACGCCTAAAAGTGCATAAGAGGTAGCAAAACTCTGCCAGTTACCTTCTGGCTTTCATGACTGTAACGAATCTCATGCAGCGGAATAATTGGATATGGGATATGGACAAAACTAATCTGGGCTACGGAATCGAAGCGATTTTGATTTACATATAAATTTGATAATTTCTTATTTAAGAATTTTGTCCTGGAAATTTCAATAATGTTATCTTATACTTTTTATATCCCATCGTAAACTAGAATCTTTTAGCTTTAATTTAACATACCTATCACATCAAAATTCATAAAAATACAGTCGATATGATTTTTTGAAAATTTCTTGTTTTTTGATTTATAAATTTGACAATTTCTTCTTTACCAATTCTTTCCTGGAAATAATTATTACAATGGACACGGAATAATCGAGGAAATTTAGGAGTATTCCATGTCTCCATTTCTACATTTATTCGTTATTAATTCAAACCAACTGCAATTGATAATATATTTTTTCTGTTTAGGTATTGATTTTGATACTATTATGACAGGTTAGAAATGACGCATAGATTGCAAAAGAATATCCTCGATTTTCGAAGGGTTGGACAAAGGATGAAAACCTGACATTAACCAGCAGAAAAATGTTCTATTGCGCGATAATGAAAACTTTAATGAGTAAATGTAGAGAAATAGTTTGTGAAGATTTCAGAGGAGGTTTGGCAATCATGGCAAATCATGCAGCATCTTTAGCCCCAACTAATGATGGAGTCGGATGAGGAAGAGGGAGAAAATGAATTTGATGATGAAACGAATACATATGAAGAAGATCATGTGGAGGAACGAGATGGTGACTTTGTCACCGAACAAGACGATGCATCCATTACAGATGAACATTTTGTTAAAGAAAATTTATTTTCTTTTGATTACCACGGTCCAATAAAAATAATGTTCTAATAAAATTACGTGGGTTTAGTTTCGTCTGTGTACCCTTAGAATCTTGATATCTTATGCAGATGATACACAATTACGTTATTCTTTTTCATTAGTTAAATCATCAAGGTTTATCAGTCTGAAACACCAATTTTGAAGTTATAGAAATGTATAAAAATAACCTTTTTTGAACGCAGGAAAAAAACCTCTTTGTATAAATGGCAATTATTGATTAATTACCAACATAAATCTAACATAAACAAAATAATTAATAGTTGCATGTGTTTATTTTAATAGCAAGTATACGATTTACTCTATCCAGTCACAAAATTTATGAACCGGATTAAAATATTTTCCCCCGGGGCATGTCATAATCGACGGATCCCCACATTCATAGTATTTCGTACAATCATCCGGGTACGGAAAGTTTTCAACTAGAATATCACAAATTTTAGAAATCGGATTAAAATGTAATCCCTCCGGGCATGACTTAACCAACGGTTCCCCACATCTGTAGTATCTCGTAGTATCTTCCGGAAACACAAAGAATTCAGCTAGAAATACAGAAAAATAAAGTAAAAATTAAGAATAACGAGTCAGTTGACGTTGAAAAAATTGACAATAAGTAAAACTTACCACCTACAACATAGGCAATTAATGCCAAGAAAAGAACAGAAAGAACCAAACCTATAATTATACAAAATATTTTTATGAACAAAGCTTTAATCAAAAATAAAATTTTCTTACCTCTCATTTTTTGTTACTGTTGCGTGCAAGTAATATGTTTAAAATTGTTGGTTGTCGTTTTATATAGCTCTGCCGTCTTTGAATATCTAATCAACTGTTATTTAAACTCGAGAGGTGAATGATAGCAAAAATCTTTAGAAAATATTAATTTTAAAATAATAATTGAAATAATAAAATTGACATTTATTGGCTACCGGATTACAACACTCAATTATTTGAAGTAATTGTAGATTAAAATCTAAATGATAATATAACAATTAAACAATTATTAATTAATGATTAACAATTTGATTATAAACAATTAAATAGTAGCTACAAGATAGCGAAATGACACTTGTATTGCTCGTAATTTGCTATTTGCGATTTTTATCTCCCGTTTAAATAACAGTTGATTAGATATTCCAAGGCGATAAAGCTATATAAAACGATAGCCAACAGTTTTAAACATATTACTTGCATGCAACATTAACAGAAAATGAGAGNGACAAAAAAATGACACTGACGACAACTTGTCATTATCCCACATCCTACATTTTAATGAGTAAATGTAGAGAAATAGTTTGTGAAGATTTCAGAGGAGGTTTGGCAATCATGGCAAATCATGCAGCATCTTTAGCCCCAACTAATGATGGAGTCGGATGAGAAAGAGGGAGAAAATGAATTTGATGATGAAACGAATACATATGAAGAAGATCATGTGGAGGAACGAGATGGTGACTTTGTCATCGAACAAGACGTTGCATCCATAACAGATGAACATTTTGTTAAAGAAAATTTATTTTTTTTTTGATTTTTTTGATTATTGGTTTAGTTTCGTCTGTGTACTCTTAGAATCTTGATCCATTTATTTAACATATAGGACTCATCAAAGTTTTTAATCATTACAGTCCTTACATGTATACCGATGATACACAATTACGTTATTCCTTTTCATTAGTTAAATCATCAAGGTTTATCAGTCTGAAACACCAATTTTGAAGTTATAGAAATGTATAAAAATAACCTTTTTTGAACACAGGAAAACCTCTTTGTATAAATGGCAATTATTAATTATTTACTAACATAAATCTAACATAAACAAAATAATTAATAGTTGCATGTGTTTATTTTATTAGCAAGTATACGATTTACTCTATCCAGTCACAAAATTTATGAACCGGATTAAAATATTTTCCCCCGGGGCATGTCATAATCGACGGATCCGTTGATTAGATATTCCAAGGCGATAAAGCTATATAAAACGATAGCCAACAGTTTTAAACATATTACTTGCATGCAACATTAACAGAAAATGAGAGGTAAGAAAATTGGATTCATAATTAAAGCTTTATTTATAAAAATATTTTGTATAACTATAGGTTTGGTTCTTTCTGTTCTTTTCCTGGCATTAATTGCCTATGCTGTAGCTGGTAAGCTTTACTTATTGTCAATTTTTTCGACGCCAACTGACTTGTTATTCCTAATTTTTACTTTATTTTTCTGTATTTCTAGCTGAATTCTTTGTGTTCCCGGAAGATACTACGAGATACTATAGATGTGGGGAACCGTTGATTACGTCATGCCCGGAAGGATTACATTTTAATCCGATTTCTAAAACTTGTGATATTCTAGTTGAAAACTTTCCGTACCCGGAAGATAGTACAAAATACTACGAATGTGGGGATCCGTCGATTATGACATGCCCCGGGGGAAAATATTTTAATCCGGTTCATAAATTTTGTGACTGGATAGAGTAAATCGTATACTTGCTATTAAAATAAACACATGCAACTATTAATTATTTTGTTTATGTTAGATTTATGTTAGTAATTAATTAATAATTGGCATTTATACAAAGAGGTTTTCCTGTGTTCAAAAAAGGTTATTTTAATAAATTTCTATAACTTCAAAATTGTTGTTTCAGACTGATAAACCTTGATGATTTAACTAATGAAAAAGAATAACGTAATTGTGTATCATCTGCATAAGATATCAAGATTCTAAGGGTACACAGACGAAACTAAATCCACGCAATTTCATTAGAACATTATTTTTATTGAACCGTGGTAATCAAAAAAAATTAAATTTTCTTTAACAAAATGTTCATCTGTAATGGATGCATCGTCTTGTTCGATGACAAAATCACCATCTCGTTCCTCCACATGATCTTCTTCATATGTATTCGCTTCATCATCAAATTCATTTTCTCCCTCTTCCTCATCCGACTCCATCATTAATTGTGGCTAAAGATGCTGCATGATTTGCCATGATTGCCAAACCTCCTCTGAAACCTTCACAAACTATTTCTCTATATTTACTCATTAAAATGTAGGATGTGGGATAATGACAAGTTGTCGTCAGTGTCATTTTTTTGTCAACTATACAGGTGTCTCAGAAAGAATGGGAAATCCGAATACCGGAGATACTAGACACCAAAATATGATGATTTAACGTAACATCTCTTATACAAATGTCAGTGGTTTTCGAGGCATAGAGTGTTGAAAGTTAAATTCTTATTTCGAAATTTCTTGATAATTTTGAAGGTTTTTGTACTATTAACATAAAATTTGGTAGTTTTATGTTTTCGAGCATGAGAAATACGAATTTGAAACTTGTTTTGTTATTGCTCGTAGAGGGCGCTAGATACACGCTGCTCGTTTGATAAATCAAATCATAAGTTTTTTGGCTCGACAGCTACGACCAATAAGAGCTGCAAATCACAAAGAGCATGCAATTTTACATAAAAAAGGTACTCTTATTGAAATTGTCTAAGTTTATCGGTTTTTGAATTATTTACTTTTAAATGTATTTTTTCTTCTAAAATATTTATTTTTTAACATAAGCAAAGTTGGGTTATTTTTCGCTTATGTTTCGACAATTGCCTGTTAATTGTCGAAACATAAGCGAACATTGATCTAATTTCCGTGTGCAATAATCATTTTTACCAATAATAAAGTTATTACCAATTTGAAAATGCCAGGACATAACAGGACAACAGGACAACATTTAAGTTTTTTAATAGTGAGAAATCCAGATTTAAGTCCATTTAAGTCTGGATTTTTGAAAATAGTCACAATATTCTATTGTTATTAATTAATTGTTATTGTTATCGATTATTATCGTTACTAATTGCTATAGTTACTGTGTTATTGATTTTAAATGTTAACTTTAAAATTACTTTTAAACAATTAAAAGCAGATAACTTGGAAACCAGTAACAATTTTTTCCTGGAAATTTCAATAATGTTATCTTATAGTTTTTATATCACATCATAAACTAGAACCTTTAAGCTTCAATTTAACATATTTATCACATCAAAATTCATAAAAATACAGTCAATATGATTTTTTGAAAATTTTGTGTTATTTTTGATTTATAAATTTGACAATTTCTTCTTTACTAATTCTTTCCTAAAAATTTCAATAATATCATCTTATAGTTTTTATATCACATCATAAACTAGAATGTTTAAGCTTCCATTTAACATACATATCATATCAAGACTCTTAAAAATACTGCCGATATGATGTTTTGAAATTTTCGCGTTGACAGTTTCTTCTTTAATTATTTCTTTTCTGGAAATTTCAATAATATTATTTTATAGTTTATATATATCATGCCATAAACTAGAATCTTTAAACTTCAGTTCAACATACATATCATATTAATTAATTATAATTTATTTATTATAATTTCATGTTATGTTTTATTTATAAATTTGACAATCACTTCTTTAATAATTTTTTCTTGTAAATTTCAATAATATTACCTTAAAGTTTTTATTTCATATCATAAACTAGAATCTTTAAGCTGTATTTTAACACACTTATCACATCAAGATTCTTAAAAATACAGTCGATATGATTTTTTGAATATTTCGTGGTTTTTGATTAATTAATTTCATAATTTTTTCTTTATTAATTCTTTCCTGGAAATTTCAATAATATTATCTTATAGTTTTTATATCATACTATCATCTAGAATCTATAAGCTACAATTTAACATACTTGTCACATCAAGATTCTTAAAAATACAGTCGATATGATTTTTTGAATATTTCGTGTTTTTTTGATTAATTAATTTGATAATTTCTTCTTTATTAATTCTTTCCTGGAAATTTCAATAATATTATCTTATAGTTTTTATATCATACCATAATCTAGAATCTATAAGCTTCAATTTAACATACTTGTCACATCAAGATTCTTAAGAATACAGTCGATACGATTTTTTGAATATTTCGTGTTTTTTTGATTAATAAATTTGATAATTTCTTCTTTATTAATTCTTTCCTGGAAATTTCAATAATATTATCGTATAGTTTTTATATAATGCCATAAACTAGAATCTTTAAACTTCAATTTAACTTACATATCATATAAAGATACTTAATAATACAGTCGAAATGATTTTTTGAAAATTTCATGTTATTTTTGATTTCTAAATTTGACAATTTCTTCTTTACTAATTCTTTCCTGGAAATTTCAATAATATTATCTTATACTTTTTATATCAGGCCATAAACTAGAATCTTTAAATTTTAATTTAACATACATATCATATCAAGATTCTTAATAATACAGTCGATATGATTTTTTGAAAATTTGTTGTTTGACTAATTTAATAATTTCTTCTTTAATAATTTTTTCTTAAAAATTTCAATTATATTTATTATCTTATAGTTTTATATCATATCATAAATTAGAATCTTTAAGCTGCTATTTAACATATATATCACAACAAAATTCTTAAATCTACATTCGATATGATTTTTTGACAATTTCGCGATATTTTTGGTTTATAAATTTGACAATTTCTTTAATAATTTTTTTGCTGGAAATTAAAATGATATTATCTTATAGTTTTTATATCATATCACTAACTAAAATCTTTAAGCTTTAATTCAACATACATATCACATCAAAATTCTTAAAAATACAGTCGATATCATTTTTTTAAAATGTCGCGTTATTTTTTATTACATTTTCTTTAATAATAATAATCAAATTAATATATAGTAATCAATTTTTTCAATTTTAATAATTTCTCATTAATTTGTAATTTAACCACAAAAATTCAGATTATTATTTAAAACTAATTGTTTTCTATAGCAACTGTAAGAAAATTAGGAAGACCTCCACACCTCATAATGCGAATCATGGATTGCGTTTTAATCCTATTTCAAAAAAAAATACATCCAGTCGTTCCAGACAACGCAGCTCCTTGTCCAAAACCATCTTGGCCTGAATCGTTAAAATTAATGGCATCTGCAACTTTCCTTCTTCAACTTCAAAATTATCCGAAAGATATGATCAACAACGAAATGGTCGAATTAATGGAACCTTATTTTGAAATGGAAGATTACAACATGGATACAGCAAAAAGAGTTTGCGGTGATGTTGCCGGTCTTTTATCATGGACTAAAGCAATGGCTTTCTTTCATAGCGTTAATAGAGAAGTACTTCCACTAAAAGCTAATTTAACATTACAAGAAGCTCGTTTGAAAGTGGCGATGGAAGATTTAGCGAACGCCGAGCGTCAATTAGAAGAAAAAGAAATGTCTTTGAAAGCTGTTAAAGATCAATATGACACTGCGGTAGATGAAAAGCAAAGGTTGACGGATGCTGCTAATTCTTGTTTAAGAAAAATGAACACCGCAACTGCTTTAATTAACGGATTAGGTGGCGAAAAAATAAGATGGACTAGTCAAAGTAAGGAATTTAAAGCGCAATTAGGACGATTGGTTGGCGATGTTTTATTAGCAACTGGATTTTTATCTTATTGTGGCCCTTATAATCAAGAATTTCGATTAAATTTAGTGAATACCTGGATGGAAATTTTAGAAACACGCCAAGTTCCTTACACAAAAAAAATAAATATTACAAATATGTTAGTTGATAGTTCAACAATTTCTGAGTGGACATTACAAGGGCTCCCAAATGATGAACTTTCAGTACAAAATGCTTTAATTGTTACAAAATCTAGATCTTATCCACTCTTAATTGATCCACAAACACAAGGAAAAATGTGGATTAAAAATAAAGAACAAAACAACAATCTTCAAATAACTTCATTGAATCATAAATATTTTAGGACTCACCTTGAGGATTGTTTATCTTTAGGAAGACCTTTACTTATTGAAGATATTGATGTGGAATTAGATCCAGTATTAGATAACGTGTTAGAAAAGAATTTTATTAAATCAGGCTCAATTGAAAAAGTTATTGTTGGTGATAAAGAATGTGATGTATTAAAAGGATTTATGCTTTATATTACAACAAAATTACCAAATCCTCCTTATTCCCCAGAAGTTAGTGCGAAAACATCAATAATTGATTTTACGGTTACTCGAAGAGGTCTTGAAGATCAACTTTTAGGCAGAGTTATTTTAATGGAAAAAACTGATCTTGAAGCGGAAAGAGTTGCATTATTTGAATCTGTAATGCAAAATCAAAGGAGTATGAAAGAATTAGAAGCCAATTTATTATATCGTTTAAATTCAACAAAAGGATCATTAGTTGATGATGAAGAATTAATAAATGTTCTTCAAGTAACTAAAGTTACAGCAGAAGAAGTTACTCAAAAATTATCGGTTTCAGTTCACACTGAAAAAAAAATTAATATAGCAAGAGAAGAATTTAGACCAGTTGCAGCTCGCGGATCAATTCTTTACTTTTTAATCGTAGAAATGAGTATGGTTAATGTTATGTATCAAAACTCTTTAAAACAATTTTTATCAATTTTTGATAATTCTATCACAAAATCAACAAAAAGTACAGATACTCAAGAAAGAATTGATATCATTTTAAAATATTTAACTTATGAAGTGTGGAAATTTACTCAAAGAAGTTTATATGAAAGGCACAAATCATTATTTACTTTGATGATGGCTATAAAAATTGATCTACAGAAAGGGCATATTAGCCACGATGAGTTTATGACCTTTATTAAAGGTGGAGCTTCTTTAGATTTAAATGCTGTACAACCGAAACCTTTCAGATGGATTTTAGACATAACCTGGCTAAATTTAGTCGCAATTCATAAATTAACAATATTTTCGGATATTTTACAAAAAATCGAACGGAATGAACGCGAATGGAGGATTTGGTACGAAAAAGAAAAGCCGGAGGAAGAAGATATTCCTTGTGGTTATCAAAAATCTTTGGATGTTTTTAGAAAATTGTTATTAATTAGATCTTGGAGTCAAGATAGAACATTATCACAAGCAAAAAAATATATTATGGGTGAGTTATTCATTATTATTATAGCTATTTTAGTTTGAAGTAATAAAATAATGTGTTTTAATTTTTAGATTCTTTAGGAAATGAATATGGCGAAGCTTGTATTTTGAATTTAGAAGAAACCTGGGTGGAATCAGAACCGGATGCGCCATTAATTTGTATTTTATCAATTGGTTCTGATCCATCACCGCAAATAACAGCTTTAGCTAAAATAAAAGATATTCGTAAGTTTTTTTTTATAAATACTATCTTAAGCGTCTTGTAAAAAATACATATTCTTACTTTTCAGCATTAAAAGCTGTTTCAATGGGTCAAGGTCAAGAAGTCGTTGCAAGAGATATGTTGGAAACTTCAATGGCAAATGGAGGTTGGGTTTTACTTCAAAATATTCATTTATCGTTACCATTTGCAACGGAAATAATGAGTATGATGTTGGAAAATGAAAATAAACACGAAACTTATCGATGTTGGTTAACAACGGAAGTTCACGAACAATTTCCGATAGGTTTATTACAAATGGCTATAAAATTTACGAACGAACCTCCTCAGGGAATTCGAGCTAGTATGAAACGAACGTATCAAAGTATTACACAAGATTATTTAGATTATTCTGCACAACCTCAATGGCCACCACTTCTTTACGCGGTAGCTTTTCTTCATACGGTTGTTCAAGAGCGAAGAAAGTTTGGACCATTAGGTTGGAATATTCCTTATGAATTTAATCAAGCTGATTTTGCTGCTTCCGTTCAATTTATTCAAAATCATCTTGATGATATGGATCCGAAGAAAGGTGTTTCATGGCCAACTGTGTGTTATATGTTAGGTGAAGTTCAATATGGCGGAAGAGTTACTGATGATTTTGATAAGAGGTTGTTAACAACATTTACTCAAGTTTGGTTTTGTGATGTTTTATTAAGACAAGGTTTTGAATTTTATAAAAATTATAAAGTACCTCAAACAAGAAATTTGCAAGGTTATATCGATTACATAAATGGTTTACCAACTGCTGATTCACCCGAAGTTTTTGGACTTCATGGAAACGCGGATATTACTTATCAAATAAACACAGCTAAAGGTATATTGGATACCGTTTTAAATGTTCAACCTAAAGAAGGTGGAAGCGCCGGTGGGGAAACTCGTGAAAGTGTTGTTTATAGTTTAGCTGAAGATATGTTAGAAAAATTACCGACACCTTACGTAGGATTTGAAGTTAGAGAAGCATTACAAAGAATGGGTCCTTTACTTCCAATGAATATATTTCTTAGACAAGAAATTGATAGAATTCAAAGAGTTATTATGGAGGTTAAGTCAACTTTATGTGACTTAAAACTTGCTATAGATGGCACAATAGTTATGAGTCAAGGTTTAAGAACATCATTAGATTCAATGTATGATGCAAGAATTCCAGAAAGGTGGCTAAAAATTTCTTGGGAATCAGCAACGTTAGGTTTCTGGTATACAGAACTTCTCGAAAGAGATCACCAATTTAGAACTTGGTTAAACAATGGAAAACCAAATGTTTTCTGGATGACCGGATTTTTTAATCCACAAGGATTTTTAACAGCAATGCGTCAAGATGTTACGCGAGCCCATAAAGGTTGGGCTTTAGATTCAGTAGTTTTACAAAACTTAATTACAAAATATAATAAGGAAGATTTAAGAGATGGTCCTGCTGAAGGGGTTTATGTCCACGGATTGTTTTTGGAAGGTGCTAGTTTGGATAGAAAATCGGGAAAATTAATTGAAAGTAAACCTAAAGTATTATACGAACAAATGCCTGTTATTTATATTTTTGCTATTAATACAACCGCTGGTAAAGATCCTAAGTTATATGAGTGCCCAATTTATAGAAAACCCCAACGTACCGATTTAAAATATGTTGGATCGATTGATTTTGAAACCGATCATAATCCTAGGCATTGGACTTTGAGAGGTGTTGCTCTTTTATGTGATATTAAATAAAAAAGCAAATTCAAAGTATTTATAAAAATATTTGTTATCTAAAGAAATTATTATTTAATTTTAATGTACGATAGATCCTTTTTTGAGATTTGAGATATGTATAGTTTGTTAACTGTGAAAAATAAAGTAATGATGATAATGAAATACATATTTATTGATCTTTTATTTCAAAGTATTTTATAAACTTTGTATGAATAAAATATCAATTGTTGACTTCATTTTTCTTCCCAAAGCGGAGTACTACGTAATCCATATTTTGGATACTGAATTTAATATGGTAATGGTGTTTAGATTTCTGTGTTGCATAAAAGTACCGGTTTTTACAATGTGTTTTTGTCTAAACTGCTTAATCTCGATGGAGTAATCTACCGAAGTTGAGTCTTCGTAGCAAGACCACAATTTTCCTAAAATCATTAGATACGAAATTTTATTTAGCAAGAGTTTTTGTAAAAATGGTTAGTTCGGAATGATTAATCTCTGAGGAGCACGAGAAAACGAAATGTCAGTTTGGCAATAGAAAAAAAATAGCGGGGTTTTTTGAAAAACCAATTCATCGCGAAAAATGATCTTTTGAATTATGTGGAAGGTTGGCATAATTGCTATCTTTAATGTACGCGATGAATGAAGGCAAGGTTCTTCCACATAGAACTACCATCTCCATAATAATGCTAAAATCGAGTATTACTAGCAGTGGTACAAGGGTTGTCTTCTTCCTATTCTTCTTGATTCGTATTACTGTTATTTAAAAATATCTTTAGCATCTCCATTTTCTGGCTCAGTATCATATTCATTACTAATGTCTGTAGTTTAGTTGGAATTTTCTCGTAGAGTGTCTTCAAAGCATTGATTTTTTAATTAACTAACACGACAACAAACTAAAGTTCTATATCTTTAATTCTTCTAAAATTTCCAGGAATAAATCTAATTACTGACATTAACTATATTCTCTTTATGTGCTCATTAAGAATGACTAACAGCAAATGCTTTAATTTTCTTAAGAAAAGCATGGACAAAGCACATGGACATATCAGCTAATTACGAGTCATTTATCCGTCTGAGAAGGTATCTGATTCAATAATTTCTGCTGGGCGTCCGTAATCGACTTAAGTCAAATAAATAACTTAATATGATGTTGTCTTTTGAATTCGTATAAATCTTTATCATGCTTCGCTGCGAAACTTGGAGTACTTCGTAAACCAAATTAATTTTGTGGTTATCGTGATTGGTTACAAAACGATAAGCATTAGAAAGGCTAAGAAATTTGTTTTGACTACGTTGGCTAAGTAGTATAACCCCACAGCTGTATTCCGTAAGTCTAGAACGGCTTACTTGTGGACTCATAAACTACTTTTTGATCCGAGATTATGTTGGGAGCATCTACCAACAGGTAGATAAGACAGATAGGTTGCTGTTGAAGTGATGTGGACCTACCTTTTCCAATCCCTAGTTAACTTACGATCTTATTAATTGCTACTTGACGTTTTTCCATAGCTTCATTGAAGTTAAATCTCTTACAATAATAACTGTATCATCATCAGGTGTTATATCAACTGTAGACTGTGTATTGTTTTTTTGAAATACATTAGCAAGATGTTTTGTAAATAATTCAGCTTTTTCATCATTATATCTGGCCTATTGATTTTGTGCATTTTTAATCAGCGTCACATGAAAAGTTGGACGTTTGAATCTGCCAGTTGTTTTCCATAGTAGAAGTTATCATATTATCTTATTTGTGACGAAGGCATCTTTTATACTGAATAAGATTATTTATGGTTTGGTCTTTATTCTTGGCATAATTTTGTTTACATTGTGGCTGTGTAAGAAGCTTGTGCTCCAAATCGATCTCAATTTATATATATTAATAATAATAAATGCCTTTATGAATAAGTCGCAAAAAGAAAAAAAAAATAATACGTTCTTAGAAAATAGACGTATTTTCTGGACGATGTTCAGTTTGGTTATTAACCAACTGCTCTTCCACTTAATCCAGAATATATAGAAAATATATATGAAACAAAAACGAAAATCTTTTTAATAATACCAATAAAACAAAATAACAAACAACGACATGCTACTATAAAGCGATGCATTAGTAGCTCAGAATATAAAAAAAAATCATGATGTCTCAAGCAGGAGGGAGGATTTTACTTACTCTTGAACGAAATACAGCTCAATCCCATAAGGTTCACTGGTAGATCATTGTACGTTATGGCTATCTGGTAGGAAAAGGATCGATGCGAGGCGCCGTCAACACATCTTTCCTTCTTACATTAATATTATGGACATCGCTTCTGAAAGATAAGCGTTGCAGCAAGTAAGGAGGCCGTTGACTTTTAATAATTTTATAATAAACGCAAGTTGCATGCAGTTTACGTCTGTTCTTCATGTTCAATCACCCAGTCTCTGCCAACTTATGACTAATATGGTCATACTTACGAATTTCGTAAATAAACCTTAGACAACCGTTCTGGAGGTTCTAGATACGATGCCCACTCGCCTCCGTTAAATTTGGATCATAAACAATGTCGCAGTGATTTAATTTGCTTAGAACCAAGTTATCACACAGCATAATTTTTAATTTAAGACATCTCTATGGGCATACAAGAGACGGAGGGCGCCATACCCACCCCTCAAGCACCCGGCCACATGCTCCTCAAACCTCAACTGATGATCCAATGTGACTCCTAAAATTTTTATATCATCAGAAACAGTAAGAGGTTCGCCATCCACCACCAATTGACCGGATATCAAAGATATTAATTGCTCTCCTTGTGACACTACAGAAGAACAGAAGACTTAGATGGATTAAGCACAAGCTCATAGCGTTTCGCAACATCAGAAAATAATGCTACATCTGAGTTAAATTTTATGCAGGCATCATCCCAATTATTTGGATTAAAATTCAGCAGAAGCTGTGTATCATCTGCATACAAGTGAATCTGCCCATGCTCAAGAACTTGGTTACAATCAGATGTATAAATAGAGAACAATAATGGCCCCAAAATGGACCCCTGAGGGACTTCACGAGTAACAGGCAGAGCGCTCGATATCTGACTATTAATCTTGACAACCTGAGACCTATCCGACAAAAATTACTTTATCAAAATTACAGCCTGATTTCCAAGATTATCAAAATAGTAAAGTTTAGATGCAAGTATATTATGATTTATTGTATCAAATGGTTTGGTGAAGTCCAACGATAACAAAAGTGCTTGCCCAAGATTGTTGATCTGGAAGTATATTATAACTTTCGCAGTGTGCTCTAAGTTGCCTTTCCAAGACTCTCTAAAATTTTTCACATTACTGGTAGGATACTGATCGGTCTAAAATCCCTTAGGGTAGAAGGCAGAAACTTTAGGTAACGCAATTACTTCAGCCATCTTCCAGGCATCCGGAAAAACTGATTGATGAATAGCAGCGTTTATTACGTGAGTAATATAAGGAATGATTAAAGGTCAATCATCCAGCCTGAGATACTATCACAACCCACCGCTGCAGTTTTAATGTTATTAATTATTACAGATACTTCATATTCATCAACGGGCATAAAAGCTTGCATTATCTGCACTCTAGGGTTTACATTATTTTGATAAAATATGGGTAATTCGGGATCAGTCTGAATATAAAGTGAAGAATCACCGTGAACAAAATAATTATTTGAATCGTTTGGAAGAAAAATATTAGGTACTTTGTTATCGATTTTTTTATTTATATTTAAAAGTTTAATCTTTCTCCATAGAGCTTTTGGATCTTTACTATGTAAGGCGTAATCATAGTATGCCTTCTTTTCAGCCTGCACCGTTGATGTTACCAGATTGCGATGTAAGTTGTATGAAACCCAGTCTGGAGTTAGCTTACACTTTTTGAATTTGTTTTATATATCTTGTTAATATCGAGCTAATGTCACAAAAAATGGCCCTTATGCACCGAATTTTTGATTCACATATGGAGTTAAACTTGTTAATTCTAAATTAACACAGTCCAAACAGGTCCGAGCATCCCTCCATGGTTAAACTCTAGTCTACATCATTATTACTTGAGGTAAGGTTACTTAATCAGATGGATTCTTTCAGGTGTGGAAGAACCAAAACGATCTCAATAAAAAGATATATTTAGTAACATATGGTATATTTAGTACAATATCAAATTTATATTAATTTAAATTAGAAGAAAAGAAAGAATTCAAAAGATATTTTTAAAACATATTGGCCACAAAGCAAATATAAACTGGGCTGATTATCCGCCTGTAAAACATTTAAGTTATTATCAACGGCTGCCAAATAGCGGAGTGTTAACACACCATAAAATTTTTAACACACATATAGACTTTTCTCCATTGTCACGAAGTAAGTTGTCTCTCGGCTCGCTCTCAAAGTAGATTATATGATACGCTTCAATACACACGCACAAATATCTTTAAAATTCACTCTTTCTGAAAATGGCTTGAATCGGCTTGATGTCTTCCGTAATACCAATAGGGCATTTAAGAGGTTGTCGAAGAGTTTAGTATACAGGTACAGGTGTGATTAAAAATTGTGTAAATGTTAAAAGTAATTAGGTCGTGCAAAATTTATGTAGTTCAACATTTATTGTTTATTTTGTTTTTATTTTTCGTTAATATCAATGAAAATTAAAGGTTATGCAGATAATAATCCTTAAAGTGAGCGATTTTTTCCACCTAATACACTAGATGAGATTTCTTAAAATAAAAATAAATTTATTTTGATTAGGTTTTAAGAAATGATAAAAACAAATAGAATCAAAACATTTTGTTTTCTTTAATATACATTTTTATTTATATACAATCTACACATTTTTAGTTTCTAAATAATAAAATTCGTAATAAACACATCAAAATCATAAAAAAAAAAAATATTTTCGTCGTAAATCCATTCATTCCAAATTTATTTATTGACTTTCCTTTCATTTAAATTTTATCCATGAACTTGCATCGTATACAATTTATAATAGATTCCTTTACAATTGATCAAATCATTATGTGTTCCCATCTCTTCCACTTGACCCTTGTTTAGCACACAGATTAGGTCAGCATTCTGCAACGTCGTCAGTCTATGAGCTATGGTTATACACGTGCGACCCTGACGGGCATTTTCCAACGCTTCTTGAACAACCTAAAATATTTCAAAGGTTACAAAAGAAATAAAAAAATACAAAAAAATAATTAACACCTTTTCACTTTCTGAATCTAAAGCAGAAGTAGCTTCATCCAAAACTAAAACTTGAGGATTTCTTATTAAAGCCCTGGCAATTGCGATTCTTTGTTTTTGACCACCTGACATTTGAGTACCTTTTTCACCAACTCTTGTATCATAACCCTATTAAAATCAAAAAGACAAAATTAAAAAAAAAAATTTTGTAGAAGTTTTTACCAAAGGTAAAGATGTAATAAAATTATGTATGTTGGCTTTTTTGGCAGCTTCTATAATTTCTTGTTTTGTTACGTTCCTTTGATTATCACCATAAGCAATGTTCTCAGCGATCGTTCTATCAAATAAGTTAGGTTCTTGGGAAACTATACCCAAATGAGATCGCAAAGATGACAATTTTAAATTAAGAATGTTCGTTCGATCTACATTAATCGCACCGCAAATAGGATCGTAAAATCGTTGAATCATTTGAATGATTGTTGATTTTCCACAACCACTTGGTCCAACTAATCCGACAGTTTTTCCTTGGAAAATCATTAAATCTAGATCTGATAGAACGGTTACATTTTTTCTTGTTGGGTATTTAAACGAAACTTTAGAATATCTTACATTTCCGTTACCCTAAAAAATGTATCAAATAATCAAGGATTACGAAGAAATCGTTATAAGTAGTCTTTTAAATTTCTAAAATTTAGTAATTACCCATCCATAAGAACTTGATTTTTCATGATCTAAAATATTAGGAACTCGTCTTAAAATCCTTGTAATACTAGCTGCTGCAGAAATTCCTTTTTGAAGATTAGGAGTAAAAGCTACAGCATTTCCAACTGACCAAGCACCAGAAATTAAAGCTTCCGATATTCTTAAAAATTGTAAAAGACAATTATTTTACAATCATTTAATTTTTGTTAAATATCTTCTTACTTAAACAAATTTTCATAAGGCAATTCATTTTGTGTAATCAAACGACCTCCATAATAAATTGAAATTGAGTAACATATGAACATTAAAGCTCTGGCAAAAGCAAAAATCATTGCAGTACCATGAAGATGAATTCTAGCTTTGTTATAATGAGGCTCCAAAATACTTCTGTAACGTTTATATAAAATATGTTCGCATCCTAAAGAACAAACCGTACGAATATTTCCGATTGCTTCAACTGCAACTTTGGTCGATTGAATTAATGGATCGCTCGACCCGGAATCTTTTCTCAACACTTTTTGTTCTAAATAAATTCCAAAGAAAATTAACGGAACAACTGCTAACGTCACTAAAGTTAATCTCCATTCGTAATAAAATGAAACACCAACGGCGATACTCATTGTTGATAATGAGTTTAAAACAGTTCCAATTGGTTGACCAGCAGCCTAAAAAATAATTTAATCAAAAAACTGTTAAGAATTAAGATTTAGATTATTATTTACTCCTTGTACGCTTGACGCATCACTTGATAATTTAGCGCAAATTGCACCAACACCGTTTTCTTTTCGATCGAACCATCCCATTTCTTGATTAAGAATTTTTTCAAATAATAATCCTCGAACGCGATTTGTTAATTTCTCACCAGCAATTCCAAATAAGTACCACTAAAAATATATATCTTAATATTTAATTTCTTGAAAATCTAGAAATGGTAAAAATGTAGTCTAAAGCATTTTTGTAGGTATGAAAACTTTGATAAGTGATGGAGTCTTCAAAAACCTTATAACAGCAAATTAAATTCAAGATACTGAAATAGCTAGGTTTTTGTACTCCAATAAAATACTAAATTGAATACTGTAGAAACTGAAAGATTCATAAAAATTAATACAACAAGTAAACGGAAGTGAGATGGCTGACAGCAGCAAAGGCTGAAAGACTGCCTAGCTGGAACGTGCAAATTAATTAGCATATATACACGATGAATAATTACAAATATTGTGACTATATTAAAGGAAGCTATATTGCAGAGTACAAAGTAGATTATATAGTAAAAGGCTTTTATAACTTGTACGAACGAGACACTTTTCTATTGTTACGGTAGGTTAATGAAGCCTCTGACGATAACCGTATCGTGTCGAAACATGCAAAACAGAAAGATAAATAAACCACAAGTACAATATGTATGTCGATGCTATTATCATTCTATTAAGCAACATTTTGAATATGAATTACATATTTGTATTTACGCAAATTAAATAGCATAATTTAAAGCGAAGCTTTTTTACAATTGTAGTATGCTGTAATTTTTTCACGTTAATCTCTTTTTTAAATATAATTGTTATTTAGTATCTACAAATAGATGTTAAATTGGAGGAAGCACATAAAGATAAAGTGTATCGATAAATTTTTACCTGCAAAAATGATGTAAATCCAGAAACAATTCCAATAATCAAAAAATACAATGAAAATTTATTCCCCTCGGTTTTTACATAATCATCATTGGGATCGGATAATACACCAACGATATCTCCAAAAACGAACGAATAGGCAGGAAGTGAAGCACCAAAAATCATCGCACAAATACAACCTAAAATAATATGAATAGCTTCTGGGCTGTTTAGTGTTAAAATCATCCAAATTGGTGAATAAGATTGTTTTTTATCAGATTCTTCTTCATCTTCGATTGTTTCTGTAACATCGTCAAGAAAATCGTCTTCATCAATCTCTTCTTTATCTTCTTCGTTTTCTGATCTTTTAGAAATATTTTCATCCAATTCGCAACTATCGGAGGTTTGAGCGTTAACTAATTCATAATATACACCTTCTTTAGCCATTAATTCTTGATGATTACCTTCTTCGACTACTTTACCATTTGAAAAAACTAAAATTCGATTTGCGTTTCTTACCGTTGATAAACGATGAGCTACAATGATCGTTGTACATTCCTTACTTGCCTAAAAAAAATATAATAAATCAAAAATTTTGATATCTTTTAAATTGATTTACTGAATCAATCGTTTTTTGAACTTGATATTCACTATGGGTATCTAAAGCGGAAGTAGCTTCATCTAAAAGTAAAATCGATGGATCTCTTATTAAAGCTCTAGCAATTGCTATTCTTTGTTTTTGTCCCCCTGATAATTGAGCTCCTCTTTCTCCAACCAATGTATCATAACCTTGAGGTAATTTCATTATGAAAGAATGAGCATTTGCTTTCATTGCGGCTCTTTCAATGTCGTTTTCCGTAGCTTTCGGATTGCCCAATTTTATATTTTCAGCGATTGTGGTTGCGAATAAAGCCGGTTCTTGTCCTACAACACCAATATGAGATCTCAACCACCGCAAATCAAAATCTCTTAAATCAACACCATCAATTGTAATCTAAAAAAACTTTTATGTATTACGGAAGATAAATAAAGTTGGTATTAATAAAATTATTTTAGTTTACATTTCCGAAAATGGGATCATAAAATCGTTGAATTAATTGAATACAAGTAGATTTTCCACAACCGGAACTTCCAACTAAAGCAACAGTTTCACCCGCATTTATTTTAAAATTAGTATCCCTTAAAATTTGAACATCTTTTCTTGATGGATAATTAAACTTAACATCTTTAAAAACAATATTTCCTTTTAAATTTGGTAATCGTCTTCCGTGTCCTTTAGAAGCGTTAATGATGGGTTCTTCGTCGATTACGGAATAAATTTTAGTAGCAGCTCCACAAGCGACGCTAAAAATTTGAAAATATGGTGCGCATTGTCCAAAATTCCATGTTGCTAATAAAATACTAAAGAAAACTGTTAACATATTCGCCGATGTGTAAACTTTTTCATCTTCAGGTAGATGTCTTTCATCGATAATTAAATCGACTCCGTAGTAAAATGATAACGAATATGAACCGAAAACCAAAAACCACATTATTCCGTTATTAATGGCGGTTAATAAACTTTTTTTAATATTGTTATCTTTTGCTATGACCAGTTGTTCTCGGTAACGTTCGCATTCTTTGGTTTGGCCTCCGAAAGCTACAACGGTTCTTATCGCCGATAAAACTTCTTCAGCAATACATCCAGCTGAAGCATAAGCTTCCATTTCGTTTCGAACGAATTTTGTTGTTAACCATGATACTATTTGCATTCCAACCAAGGAAACAGGAAAATAAATTAGACAAATTAACGATAATTCCCAGCCTTTAATAAAAGCCATAATGATTCCTGATATAAATGCTGCCATATAAAAGATTAATGTTGAACTTTTATCACCTAAACCTTCTTCAATTTTTGCTAAATCTCTAGAAATTAAAATTTATATGATAAATATAATTACTATTTTCTTTAAAAGACGAAAAAAAATCACATAAAATCTTTTAAAATGAATCAAAACAACCTCTAATTTTAGAATAATTTTGTTAATGTTATTTGCTGTTTTTTTGGAGAAAGTTATGTGCTATTCAATAAGTTAAATGGAAAGGATTTTCCACCAGCAGAGTTTATGTTTGGCGTAAGAAATAGAACCAGAAAAGATGATTTTAAAAAATGTTGGTAAGGTAGAAATGTGCAAATACGGATATAATACGGAATAAGTTAAATTAAAATTACGGCATTCATTTTGGTTATCCAACTTAGTATATAAGCAATTTTTAATGATCTTTATTTTCAGCTTATTGTGGGGCTTAGATCATCATACTGTGAAGGTTAATATTGAAGCGCAAGCAAAATATGCAGCACGAGTATCAGCTACGACAGGGTATGTTGGAATGATTGATGAAATGCTGAAAGAAGTAATGGGAGTACAAGAACAGTGCCTGATAGCAAATCACAAGTGACTAACTTTAACGCACACAGTTACGCCTACAGTTGCTCGCCTGCATAAGATCTTGGCGAAAGACCATAACAGTGATGTAGGTCACCTATGCAAATAAGACTGAGGATGTTAAGAAATCGCTGGAACTCTTACTGAGCACGCACTTTCTTTCCTCAAAAGTCTGCCCCCATGCGGATGCAGATCCTGAAGTAATGGATATAACCCGTCCATCCGGTGGGGTTCACAGCATAATTGGGAATATCACCTCGAGGGGATATTCCCAATAATAGAATAGAATTGTGCGTATCTTTCTGCAAAAAGGCATAGAAGACCTGCTCAGTAATAATATCCCTATATATAGCAAGCTATAGCTTTAGCTATATACCTACACTATGGAGAAAAGTAAAGGTGGTCTTCATACCTAAAGGTGGTAGGTGTTCAAACGCCGATCCCAAGGCATACAAACCAATTAGTCTAACTTCATTTCTCCTCAAAGTGATTAAAAAGGTAATTGATGGAGCCTTACGCTGGAAAGATCTTCCAGGTCACAGACAAGCGAAGAGTATGATAACTCCGTCGTAAAACCAAAGAGGTTTTATGCCTCAGCAAAGGGGATCTAAGGACGCTCTTTCACATTGGACAAGCTGAAGATCAAATTTGTCGACTTTGCAACGATGAGTCAGAAACGGCTGAACATATATGTACTGTGTAATTGCGTTGCCAGAGGCGCTTAAGACACAAAATTTTCGGCAAAGCTCTTTTGACACCTACCGACATAAACGAACAAGACCTTGGAGCAATACTAAGGTTCGTTAAGGACCTACATTTGCCCTAAACTTTTAAAGGGCTACAGTTACAAATGATTTTATAGGTCGCGGTGACAGGAGGGGCCGCTCTCCTCAGTCCGGCAGCAATAATAATAATAACTTCAACGCATCATAATTAAATACCAACATACTACACAATGAATACTTGAGCAAACAGAAAAGTGAAATTTATAAAGAAAAGAGGTCAAGGTTGGGAATATGAGAAAGTATTTGTAACCTTTTGAATTAGAATGTATTAGATTTAGTTGTGGCTGGAATAACCTAGCACATAGGGGCGTTTAAAACTCAAGAGCTATTTGGATTATCCACTTGTAATTTCAAAAAACAGATTGTTAATAAGTTTACTTCTTCATTTATTTCTGTTCTTTTCCTGGTTTCATTCAAGGTTTAAATCTGTGCCCTCTTTCACATATGTTTATGCAGTTTACTTCCTTTTGTATTGAGTAATACGAAACCTGCCTGTATTAGTCTTCTCATTATGTTTCCTACTAGATTTTGCCAAATATTGTAATTATCGCTGTCCATATTTTCATCTTGTATGTAATCTGTACTTGTATTATGCTCGTTATCAATCTGTTTTTTTCTGTTCGTTTCCTAGGTATTGGTTTCCTAGGCATTCGTGTGCTTTTATTCTTAATCTACTAGAGTTTTCTTAGGTGATAAATCTTTCTTCCTCGGATTTGTTGCGTTTATTTTCATGTTCTACTTCTCAGCGCATATTATAATGCTGCCTGTCGCACTTTGTGATTTAGTCGTGTGCTAACAAATTATTCCTGCTGTCATTATAGTGTACCATCACGTTGAAATGCCGCTGCCTTTCTGGGGTTGGTTTTCCTAAGTTCTTCCCTTTTTTGAATTTAGTAGGACTCTGGTATTTGAATTTGTACTAGGATTCTGGCATTGTATTATTTTATTGTACGAACTCATTAAGTTGAATAGCCCTTCATTAAGTCCATATGAATTCCAAATTATTGTATTAATACTTCTTAATTATTTATTTTGACTACTTTTTCCCTTAATACTGGTTTCTCTCACTATTTATTTTGTACAGTCTTTCTATTTTGCTACTACTTTCATACAGTTTCTCATTTCGGCCTTTTTTTTCTGTATGCAGTTTTTGATAGGTTTCTTCTTTGAGTTTTGGCTTTTCCTTCTTGTACTATATTTCTTCGTCTAACACTTTTTCGACTTCATTTGCACGACTCTAGTTCTTGTTTTTCTCTAACCGTTTCTTCTTAACATATTAGCTATTCTTTCTACACCTACCAGGATCTTGTCCATATCTACTTAGACAACGTTGATACAATTAATTTCCATATATCCGAAAAGGCCAAAAAACCATAATTTCGCCGCAAATTTTTAAATTCCTTCAACTTAATAGTGGCATTTAAATCACAAGTTGTTAGATGTAATGACGTTTATATATAATATGAAAAAGTATTGTTATACACTTATCTACCAATAAGTATTTGGGTACCCATTGAAATGTCGATATTTGCAGTTCAGATGTCCTTCACGCTCTTCGTCGTTTAATATCATGTGGTAAATAACATTGGGTTTATTCGCACGCAAGATTCTATGCAGTGCAGAGTTATCTGATTTCGAAAAAGGTCTAATCGTCAAAAATGGACAATTTTGAAACATATCCAACGAGCTGAATTATCCAAAATCGACAGTGCCAATACTAGTTGCGGGAATGTTGTTTTGATGAGTTTTAATGATAGTGTTGCCGCCCACAAGTCTTTGACCACTAAATCTTTTCGAGCTGTTTTGTTAATGTTTTGTGAAACACGTCTACAATCTACCGTAGATTACTGGAAACATGTTCTCTGGAGTAACTAATCAAGGTTTTCCCCTAACGTTTAGAAGGCCACCTTATCGAAAGAATTGCAGAATGGACTAGTATACCCAGAGCCCAAGCCTGAACCTCATCAGGATTCCATAACATCGTTTCTATGATTGAAATTGAAATTGGTCCTGGACATTTATTCCATTAAATTCCTTTTGTGTCTAAACACGATAATTTAAAAACGCAATTAACTAAATTTGCATTAGTGTCCGACCGAACATTCGGTTTCGGCCAATGTCGGTCAAAACACGAGTTTCTGTACATATTTCTGTTTCGACCAAAAATCGACCGAACCTTCGGCAAGAACTGAAACTTCGTTCGCCGACCATTATGGACCATTACGGCCTGTTCAAAACTCTGTATATAACAGAGTGAAGAGAAAAGTAATAGACTTAATCGAACAGTGTGAATGGTTAGGTTGCACGACCGATATATGGACAAATCCATCAAAGTGCTCACTACTGAGTTTGACAAGTCATTTCATAATGGGATTACAAAGATTGAAAGTTATACTTGGGGCTACTGTACTAGAACAGAACCACATCGGCGTTTACCTTTCAGAAAAGCTTGAAGGTCAGAATATTGTGGGTGAGCAAATATGGGTTGGGTTGGGTATGTTGTGTATCCCACAATTTGCAGTTGGTAATTAATGATGTATTATTCAGACAAGAAGAGATTGAAATAGCGATAAAAAGGTGCAGATAAACTGATTATATAAATGAACCGAGCTTGCAAATAAATGTTAATATACAGGTGCCTCAGCGAGACCATTCATTAGACGTTTATAGGGTTCTGGCCAAAATAAAAATTTGAGAATTCAGATTTGAGTATAACCAATTGGGTTCTCTTCGATTTTCAGATTTCTAGCACTTCTGGTTATACCGGAAGTCGCCACCTACTTTATTTTTTAAATGCAACACCTGTATATTTTTACATATTTGGATTTGTCTATTTTCAAGGTTTATGAGTAACTTTAGTTTTTGCAATTTGATTCGGGCGTTTTCGAAAAAAAATCGAATATTTTTTTTTTAATCTGCTCTAGCAGGAATTTGTGCAAAAAATCAGAAAACACTTGAAAAAGAAGAAGAAGAACAACATTTATTTGGACTTATTACAAATACCAATAAATTGAAAAAAAGAAAAATACGTAAATAAAACAAATATACTCCAAAAGGGCTATAGACCTGAGTCTTAATGCCTATGACTTGAAGAAAACACTTAATTTTTGGGATATCAATTTAGGATTCAGAACATACTTACAGCTTTACTGTCGTGTTTTGGATTCAATTTAAAAGATTTTTCATGTCTTATTTATATGTACATAAAATATTCAACTTACTCTGCTATTCTGCTTGCAAAATCTCCTGTACTGTGGGTATCATACCAAGAAATGTCTTGATTTAAAACATGTTTCATATATAAACATCGAATAGCTTCAGTCTGTTTAAAAAAAAATAATTAAAAATAATAATTAACTCAATTTTAAAATAAATTTAAAAATTATGGTTACTTTTAATTTTTAAATTGATTATAAAAGTGAGTATGAAATGTTATTTTTTTAATCTTACTTGTCTTAATGCTGAGTAAGAAAATAAAGCAACTGAAGAATAAACACAAACTAAAGAAACAATGGCCAAAATACAAGAATTTATTGTAAAAGTTCTTATTGTTTCCGTTAATGCCTCGTTATAAAATTGAGTGTTGTTGGCATCGACGATAATGTTAGTGGCATAAGTAATAATTCCTCCCGTTACATCGCTGAATAACATCATCATAACAGGGATGCAAGCTCCACTTACACCAGCACCGATTATTCCAAGAAAAATAAAGATTAAATCCAAACATGTTGCGTATCTATACTATAAATATGATTTATTTTTTAATTAAATACTAATTGATGTTCTTATTAATTAATTAAATTGTTCTATTACCAACTGAAAAATGGAGATATTTTTTTCTTCTTTTGGTTCTTCTTCGACAGGTTCTTGAAATGATCTAAAACGATTTATTTTCATTTTTGAAACAGTAAAATAATTTAATCATTTAACAAAATTACTCATTAACTATTATTTCCAGACTGAATTTGGAGTACAAATATGAATATTATGAATAATAAAGATAACTTTTTTTTTGTTTTTGGAATGAGTAGATTGTTTTATAACTTTTTGTTATAATCAAATTATGCAATAAAAGATGTCATAAAATGTTATTAAATTTCGATTTTTTTACACATTTTTACTTACTCAATTATACCATTGCTTTTAAAACTTTCCACTGAAGAGAAATCATGTTTCAATGTAAATTTCCTCTTCATTTTTCATTCGAACTGATCACTTTGTAAAAATTTAAAATTAACTTGTTAAGACACCACACTTTCGCATTCAATATTAAACTGATACAGTTCAGATTGTTTAAGAACTCTTTAAAGTCATTTATAAACTTCAAACGTCATAGAGTTGTTAATAAAAGCTTAACAGAATTGTGTTGATCATCGTTTAACTACTTTGATACGAGTTTTAGTTTGCGTCTCTTGTTTAATAAATAAATGGCAGGCCATTTGATTGGGGTTCAATTGATTTCGACATAAATAATAAAACACCAAGATGTTATATTTATATTAACTATTATTTATATTAACTAGATGTTATATTAACTATTATATTTAGAAAAAAAATACATATTTATTTACATATCAGTCCATAAATTTTCAAAAGCATTTGAAAATCTTAATATTATATCATTATTATTGGTAATAACAATATTGTCCCAATTGGAACAAATTCCTTGTAAGGTAAGGTTTAAAGATCCAAACCACATAATTTGAGAATCATAATTTTTATCGATTAAACAAAATTTATGATGCAAATATCCTGTTAGTTCTGCATTACTTTGCGTTTTAATTTCAACCCCTAAAATTAATTTTTAAATATTGTTATTGCTTTATAATTTCTTTGAAGTAAATACCTTCTTGTCGTAATCGAGATATTTTAGATCCACTATTAAATTCCATTTCTCTATCTGTAATGATCCTAATTGAAACTCCTCTTAATTTAGCGTTAATTATCTCCTGAAAAATTTGTTGTAACGATAGATGATACATGCACATTGAAATTGAAGATTTTGCTGATTTTAGTAAATTTAATATTTCCGTTAGGTAAGCATAAGAACACTTTTCTCCACAAGATGTTGTATTATAAACATGTTGAAGACAAGAATAATTTTCATATGTTATAAATATGCATTTATAATAATAATTTTTGTCTCTATTTATGTTCGTGTTATTTTTAAACTTCCACTTTTCAATTAAAATCGCTATAATCGGTGCTATTGTAATAACAGAAACTATTAAAGTGATTAATTTTGAATCAAACATTGTTATTGTTGAGTTTTTGAGGTTAGACCATTGTTAGATATTTAAAAACATAACCTAGAAATATTACAGTTGTCAAATTTTGACAAAAACAATGCTGAATTAGTTGTGGTAAACGACATATAGATGGCAGAGTAAATTTAAACTATTTTTGTATCCATTGAAGTAAATAAATATTATATTTTAATTTAATTTAGCGTGTAAAATTAATAAAAACATCTAGTTTTTATTAAAGAATTAGTTAAATCATCATAAATTAATTAAATTGATCAATTATGAGTTATGAGATGAGCAAAAAATATACAGTGCCTATCAAAATTATAGAACGTATTCAATTATACGTTTAACAAAAATTATTTAATAACAAAGGCATAATAATACTATATTTTTATTTGATTGAGTAACGCACACTTAATTAATTTAAATTACATTTATCTCATAGATTCCAGTTTAAAGTATCGGTTTATACAAAAAGAAAGATATGTGTTCTAATGTACCACTTCCGGTTACGCTATTTAAGCTGAGCATCCATTAGCGCGGTCAATCAATTTGGCGTAAAGCGGTTTCCTGAATTCATTGTAGGTGATTGCATTTCCAGCAGCAATAACGGAAATTTCGCCGCTTATGGATGAGTTTGAAGAGTTGCTGGTTCTTGGAGTGATAGTTGAAGTGGAGGAAAATGCTGATACGCTAAAAATAAAAAGGGATCCGAACTTTCCACTTACTTAATCTCCAAATTATGATAATGACCTCTTTCATTATATTGAAGAATAAGAGTAAATAGAATTAAATCATTTTTCAATCCTATTTAAAAAAAGAGGAAAACTACTGAAACACCTGGAAGGTAGGGAGTTGAACAAGAAGTGAGGAAAATTGTATGCATTGTTCAAAGACCTGAAGGCGAAATTTGATAAGGTGGATAGAGGGAAGATGTGGGAGGAAATGAAGAGGAGAGGTGTCACAGAACAGCTGATAGAGGGAGTGAAGGAGACGTACAGGGAGATGATGACCAAGATTAAAGTGGGAGAAGAGGTATTTTGGACGACGAAGGGATTGAGACAATTGTGCCCGCTTAGTCCCACACTATTAGCGATGTATACGGCGGACTTAGAAGAGAAACTTGGGGGGGGGCAGATGGGTGGGGTGGTGATAGGAGGAAAAAAAGTTGTAATGGTAACTTTTTATATTAATTGTGCTTCTTAATATAAAAACTAAAAGGTATTAAACTAAACAAGATTGGAGTTTCTAATCTAAGATTACCTCCCTCGGAGGTTTCAAAGTTCCTATTCTATGAAAAATAAAAGAACACCATTTGTATTGAAGGGAGGGTTTATTGAGCGGCTGCCATATAATTAATTTGACGCCTTTCGTTTTCTGTACCACTAGTAAATCGGATTACCTGAATTAAGTAGTCCTCAATAGTTGGGACCTGCTTTTAATCTTCAGATAATCAAGCGAGAGTTGCACCTACAAAGAAAATTAATGTTATATGTTTCGATTTTTATCAATATATTTTATCACTTTTATTCTCTACCAGTTTTGACTAAATTATTGTCGATAACTTGATACCCATTACTGTTACAAAAAGTACAATACTACTGATTGCAATATGTTCAGAAGTATGTTAGTTTCTCTATTCTTTTAATGCCTTCTTATTAATTGCTATATTTCTATTTGTTGTTCGTAAGTAGCTGCTATTAAAACAAAATGTATATTTGAGTAAAGTTAGTCAATATTTATTCCATAGCCTTTGGATATGTTTTCTGCATTAAAAATAAGACAACAAATTAAGACTACTATAATCTCTAAATCGAATAGGTTTACAAGCAAAATTGACGTTTGTATTTAATTTTTTGTTCATTCTCAAAACTAATTACGAAATAACAAAGACTTTCTCTATGCTCTAGTATTCTAGAGTTTTCTAATATGCCGGTCTAAAGGCAGTGTATGAGCGTGTCCTACTATGCAGCTGTTTCTCTTCAATGTATTGTAACACTGACACAACACTTAATTTTCACCAGAACACACTGTTCTTTGTTTTATCTTATTATTATGGTTATAACTAGGTCCGTCTCCAGTACAGGGTGTCCGAATTTCGATGTCCGCATAGGCTATCTCCGAAACTAAAAGAGATAGAAAAAAAGTAGCTTACATGTCATGATCTCGTTTTTCGAGAAAATGCTAATGCCGAAAACTCCGAACAGCTATCGTCTTTTGTTTTCGCCCTATCGGCAAAAACTGAAAATTTTGCGAAAACGACAATCGCGAATATCTCACTTATTATCAAAGATGGAGTATTATAAATAAAACATTATATGGGCAACTTTTTACGAAGAATTCAGTGGCGTAGGTAGAATTTTTTTCCCATCTTTTATTTTCGAGATTTTAGACGTAACTTTATTTTTTTAAATGGAAACCATAGTTGGCTATGACCTAAAATAATTTGTTATTTTCTTCTGATAACAAATATATATAGTTTGTGGGGTATATTTCTTATAGTTATTGAATAATTAACAAAAATTCATTTTGTTCTATCTAAAACTAATGTATGTATTTAAAAGTTAATGTTGCTATGGTGATAACCATACATACTATGATGGAACATAATGTATCAAATAATTGCCAAAGTTTGTATTTAAAAATTCGATAACAACTCTGGCATTATGTGCTGGTACGATGCACCAGCATGTTAAGTGTCAAAGTATAACAAAACTGAATAAAACTTTACAATGAATTTCGAAAATTATGAAAAATGTAACATGATGGAATGCTATATGTTATCAGATAAGAATGCGACGTTAGCCGCGGAATTTTATTTCACAAGATATCCAGAAAGAAGACAACCGCACGTAAGAACCTTCAGCCGGTTAGCAGAAAATTTAATAGATATTTGGTCCTTCCCCAAACCACATACAAAAACATACCAAAATGACCTGCAAGAGAAATTGCAACAAGACGTCTGACCCAAAAGCCGCTGCTCCCGAATATGAAAGAAAAATAAGTATAAACCATACAAAGCGGGGCTAACTCATTATTTACGTGCCGGAGATGTCAATCGAAGATTAGAATTTTGTAGATGATATTTAAAAAAATTAAATAATCTGCTGTTTGTTCAAAATGTTATCTGGACCGATGAAGTCTCTGAGTGTTCAAAGAAGATTGGGGTTCAATGTATGGTGTGCCCTTTTAGATAATAGAATTTTGGCATATAGTATCTACCATAAAAACTTAAACTCAGGGAAATACCTCAATATATTAAGGCAGCACATTGAGCCTTTGGTCGACAATTTGCCATTAAATATGTCTCAAATGATATATTTTCAATATGACGGAGCACCAGCACATAATGCCAGAGTTGTTAGTGAATTTTTAAATACTACTACAAACTTTGGCAATAATTGGAAACAATGTTTTCCATCATGGTATGGTTATCACCATAACAACATTAAGTTTTAAATACATACAATAGTTTTAGAAAGAACAAAAAAAATTGATACATTATGTTCCATCATAGTATGTATGGTTATCACCATAGCAACATTAACTTTTAAATACATACATTAGTTTTAGATAGAACAAAATGAATTTTTGTTAATTATTCAATAACTATAAGAAATATACCCCACAAACTATATATATTTGTTATCAGAAGAAAATAACAAATTATTTTAGGTCATAGCCAACTATGGTTTCCATTTAAAAAAATAAAGTTACGTCTAAAATCTCGAAAATAAATGATGGGAAAAAAATTCTACCTACGCCACTGAATTCTTCGTAAAAAGTTGCCCGTATATAGTTTTATTTATAATACTCCATCTTTGATAATAAGTGAGATATTCGCGATTGTCGTTTTCGCAAAGTTTTCAGTTTTTGCCGATAGGGCGAAAACAAAAGACGATAGCTGTTCGGAGTTTTCGGCATTAGCGTTTTCTCGAAAAACGAGATCATGACATGTAAGCTACTTTTTTTCTATCTCTTTTAGTTTCGGAGGTAGCCTATGCGGATATCGAAATTGGGACATCCTGTACTTCATCTTGGTAGCCTGAATCTTACTTTTCTTGATATTGGCAACATGAACAACTGACATCCGAAAGACAATACAGGTCTAAATATCGTTGAATACTTTTAGTTTTGTTACTTTGGATACCTCCTTCCTGTTTGTAAAGTTCTTATTCAGTGTGAAGTAAAAATGTATTGTATTTTGCATCCTTTCATTAACCCATTAGTGCATATTGTCTCACAAATGCAGGTTTCGGTGTCTTATTAACATTTTTTCCGGTGTTTTTGTCATATACTTGTATAATGTCGCCCATAAGTACCCTGAAAAATACTTGACTTGATGTGTGAAAAATACATAGTAGAGTAGTAAATTCATCAGATTTTCTGTTATTACTTATTATGTAGTTCGTCCACTCGTATATACACTTTCTTCTTTCCTCTAGATACTGAAACTTCTAAGTTTCACTGAAACTTCTTAAACTACTAACTTCAGATAAACTAGAAAACGCCATCTACATGTTTCTATCTTGTGTCAGCATTTTTCTGCCAGCTATCATATAGTGAATACATAGTAGAGTTCCTGACATGAATCTACTTTTTGATTCGGATAAGCTAATTTTGCTAACTTTTGTGCAGTGTGCAGGCTGTCCTAAAAACATAAAGTCACACTTAAACTAAATTTAGAATTTTTCTTTTATAGATAATCATTACGAAAGTCCAAGGTATACGTTTCTTACATGTACTTTGGACAGGTCGAAGGTACAAACATGTTTTTGGTTTAAGATACACAATTGGTAACCTTTTTGAAAGGTCGTTCCTGTTTTATTAGTTTATGTTTATAAGCATAAGCATCTCCGTTGGTTTTAAATTAAAGAGAAATGAACACAGAACTTACCTGACCAAAAAGTTTTAACTCAACTCGTAACGTAGATTCAAAAAACTTTAAAACTTCAAATCTTTTATTTTTTAATAATAAAGGTAATTAAAAGAAAGATTATATTGTACTAATATCTAAATTTATTTATAAATTACATACAATTATTGTCTGAAAAACAACGTTCATTGATAAATTACATTTTTTTGTTGCTTATTGTATTTTTTTAAATATTATTTTTAACTTACGTCGCATCTTATCTACTCTCTAACGTTCTTCGGTAAAATGTATAATATAATAATGTAGAAGTTTAGAAAACATTTAGTATTAATACAATCCCGACGTTACTTCTTTTTGGTTCTTTTTTAATACTAACTACAGCACTTTAAAGATTTTTTTTAAAATTTTTCAATAATAGGGACTAAAAGATGTATATACGTATATCATAATATTTTAGTTTTACTTCCTAATTTAATCCTTGTACAATATTTTCCAATGTAATTGCTTATTACGTTAACATTCAACACGGACAAGAATCTTTTGATTTTATTTGTTAATTTAAACACTTTTGGGTTGATACCGAAAATTTTGCTAAATTCTAAAGTTAGGCCTTATAACAAAGATTTCTTTATAAAATTAATATATCTAAATAGAAAAAAAAAGACTATAACGCAAAAAATGTTTCGGTTTTGCAAGAAAAACGATAAAATCGTTCAAAATTGTACCCTTTTTTATCGATTTTTAATCTGTTTTGGTTTTTCAAGTGTAAAATGCTACAAAAATATTCTTTTTTTTTACAATTTTATTTTTTTTTTTGTTCAGATTGGTTGGTCCACTTATTTAACCTACCAAAAAGAAATTGATTCAAATCGTTTTTCTTGCTAAAAAGGGTCAAAAACTCCATACATCAGTCAATACTTTAAAGAACTTTATACTAAAAATAAATTATATTTTAAATAATCATAAAAACTGTCTCAAAAGAATTTATTCTTTATTTTTAGTATAAAACCTTTTTTTTTAGATTTATTCCCTTAAATATTTTTTTTCGTATTTCTAAACGAAATGAATCATGATGATTTCATCATGAAAGAAAATTTTTATTTTTTTTGCTACAGTATATGAAGATTTTCGCAATTTTTGAACTTAGAATCTTCCTTTCCAAATAACCAAGTAATCATTTGTCTTGCTTTCATACTCGCTCTAAGCATTCCTCTAGTCTTGTACCATTGTTGTTGAGTATGATCTTTTTCTTCATTTTGAAAACTTTTTAATCTAATTTGCGTTAAAATTCCCACCAGCAATTCGTCCACGTTATGATTAATTCCAACGGAAATTTCAATAAACTTCGCTCTGTAAGTACAAGCTAAACATTTCCCATCTGAAATAAAAAGAAATATGTTCAATTTTATTACACTTTAATGAATCACCATTTCTTTTATAACAAGAAACAATTTGTAAAAAGTTATTTTCAGAACACCGTATTCTTTTTTAATGATTTTAATTTTACGATAGGGTTCTTAAATTCTTAACGAGAAGTAAAATTTATGGGGTGATATGTTTTCGGGGTCTTTAGCAAGATTTATGATCGAAATTTGTCGTTTTAATAACAGGAATAAGAAGTGTTACGACTCGTTTGGAATACTCGGAAAAGAGAATACAAATTAAACGACCGGGAAAATTGAACCTGGAAACCATCCAAGATCTTTGGCTTTTTTTGTAATTTACCTAGAAATCTCATTTCAGTTTACATGTGTCCAATTTTCAAATAACAGTTTAATTTATTTTATAAAAGAAAACCTTCAAGTATGTCTCACCTTCTACCATGTCTTTAAATATGATTTGTTATAATTGCTCATGACATTTTACAAATAAATATCCAACATAACCTAGTAATTAATCTAACGATATTCATCTCATCATTCTCATAAACGTTCAAAGAATTACTTTATTCAACAATAGGTTGAAACTCATCACTGATGGTGAATTACAAATTGACTATCTAAGAACTTAATAAGTTTGGAATCAAGTTCAGTAAGTACCGACACCCAAAGCTGATAGACAGAAGTCTCACAAGAAAACGTTACCTGCTCCTTCACTTTCAGGTTTCGACCCAGGTTCACATCCATCTACATCTAACTATTGTAACATCTTTCTGGATTATTTCTTATCTAATGTTATTTTCTATTTACCTACAAAAATCAGTCCTTATCTATTTAAATCAACATCTGAATTGTTATCATTAATAATAAATTTAATGAATAAAGTTTGGATATAAAAATGAAAATTGAGAAATCTGAAATTTCTTTGGAGGTAGAAATTATTGTTATTTTTTTGAAAATATAGACAATAAATAACAAAAGCGTTGCATAAAAACAATAAATATTCTGATTGAAATCATGCTCATCTTTCAGACATTTTTATGTTGTAATTTTTAAAGTTGTAATACGTGGAATCCACTCATTATGCATTTTAAATCTAGGCTTGGCAAAAAAAAAACTTGGCAAATCATCTTGTCAACAATAGGAGGTAAGTTAGAAATCGTTTGATCAGTTTTTAAGTATATTTTCAGCTTCGACCATTAAATTATTTATTTAATTTCAGTATATTTCAATTCAAATTTCTGAGTCGGAACTCCACAAATCTTTTCTTGTTGAATATATCAACTCAATCACAGTACTTTAAGTGAAATACCAGGTGCTAATTTTATTTGTTTCTCAGACTCTAGGTTTTTTATCATTATAAGTATTTTATTTATCATTAAATTAATTCATTCTGAGTTGTTCCTATTTCTGCAGAAAAATAACGTCATTTGGTTATAATTTGCAATTTAAATGACGCAACAATAATTGTTGAATCTCTAATTATTAGAGATCAATACATAATTTTATTATATGCAATATTACGGTGACTGCACTCACATTCAAGCAACAGTATTCACAGCAGTCTAGCTGTTATATTTTAGGATATAATGGATATACTCTATTATATAATCGCATTTAATAAAATACTAAGAATAGAAAAAGTTTAACAAAATTAATAAATCGCGGTGTAAATATGTATGCGAGTGAACATACACCTCATCCAGATCAGAACCAACCCAATTTCGGAACTGAAAGGATGAGACCAAATTGATTTCTTCTATAAGTGCTTTTAAAACCAGTTGAACTGTTCACCACTACATTGTAGGGAATGTATCAACCCTGCACAAAAAAAAACATCAAGCACTCAAGTATGGATTGCATAAAATGATAATTTAGTTAGAGGTATGTTCATAAGCTTGCTGAACTTTTGCGATTGTTGGGGCTTACCAGCGCACATCCAGGCAGGTTAGCCACTTCACCACAAGCCCAGTGATGCTCTGGGTGATGCAAAGTGATGCTTCACCACATGCTCTGGGTGAGATGACAAAGTCAGACCCAACCAAATTTGAGAATCTAATCAAGTATGAAGGTGGATAGCAAGATCATGTTCAGAAACTATGTTAAGAGCATCTCTAAGCAAAATTTTCAACTGTAGTTTTGCCTAAAATGGCTTCGAGAAAGTTGAGGTTGAAAAATGGCTTTATAGGGCCATTGGCGTTTCAGATTTCAAAGGCACAGTAAGACGGAGCGAAACTATGTTTAACCTGCGTGCTTACATATATAAAGTTATGCAATGTATAAACACAACAGCAAATAATGTGGGAAGAGCATATATATATCGGGACATGATAATTAAATGCCCTCTTCACCTTCTTCTTTTTCTTATTCTTCTTCTTCCATATATTGTAAGCTTTGGTCTGTAAATTCCATCCCGTTAGTTCTCTTGGGATGTTGACATACATGATTTTTTCCATTTGTTTGGAGGTCTTCCCAGAGGTCGTTGTGTACGTGGTCATCTTGCGTGATTATTGCAAATTATTGGAAAATGACCGGTAATCATTTTCTCTCCTACATTTAGGTCCCCATCTGATTATGTCTTCCACCTCACATTCATGTTTTATATCTGCGTTTCTTTTTCCATGGCTTAGTGTGTACCCTAAAATCTTTCGGAGTGTCTTCATTTCTGTTGGTCGCAGGATAATTTTCGTTCTCTTGTTGTATGCTCTTGTTTCTATAGCATGGGTTAATACAGCTTTTCTATATTCTTACTTTTTGCCTGTTTATTCATATAGGTGTTATTCCATATGACCTTGCGAAATGCGCTTGATTTCGGCTGGCTTTGTTTGCTTGGTCTTTTACTTCTTCTTTTTCATATGAGATGATTAGCATGAATAGATAGTCAAAGAGCATGACTTACTTACTCTATTGCTTTATTTTCATTCATTTTTTCACTAGCTCTTTAGATACAATTAGGATTTTGGTTTTTGAGCAGATTCTAGCATGTTGAAGGCTTTAGCTTTCGCATAGAATGAACCGTTGTGAATCGTATTCGTTCTCAACTATAATCACACTGTTTAATAAGGAGAATCTTTATTAACCGTGTTGTTGTATAACGTTTCTTTAGTAGGATTATTTAATAAAAAAATAAAAAAAAGTAGCTCGTTATTTTAGACCACACAAAGTCGTCTTCTCACAGCTGGATTTTTTTGCGGAAAGAGTCGGTTAAAAGTGTTAATCCCATTCTTTTACGTGGGTTTTCCTAATAAGTATATATGTGTTTGAAGTTACATGATAAATTAGTAGGTTCAACTTCTAAGTGGAAAGTATCTCGTCAGAATCAGGATGCGAGTCTTTTATGAAGTTGTTAAAAGTTGGTTTTCAGTTCTTCCACAGCTTACAGCCGGAAACACTGCAGACTAACTCGAAAGATAATTTGTTTCAAGTTACAGGTTACTCCATTTGAGTAATTATATTAACTGAATGAATTGCTAAAGGTAAACCAATCTGCAAGATTAGATTTTAATCAACAACGTTTAATTCACTATTAAGTTATTAAGAGAGTTAAGGCTCTTTATAAAACCTGACCTATATTTTCGACGAAATTTTCCTTTATATTAAGTTAACCCTTATAATACCAGACTTTTTTGTGACTTGTAGTATTGGGGTAAATAGTAACCCCAAATTCTAGTCTTTTATAACATTTTTAAGAATTCCAGTCTTCATTTAGATGAATCCTTATAACATAAGTGTTCAGCGCACGTAATATGTGCTCCTGGCAGTTGCTCCATAGTGTCTACCCTTACTTAGTTCTTTTGTATTGTTCTATTTTATCTATTCTATTTCACTCTTATTTTGGATAGTTGTTAGCAGGTAAGGATCATCTCTTTTTAAGGCTGTAGGAGGCTAACAGAAATATCTATTTATCTCGGTTACAAAAGTTTGTTGAACATATACACCTCTTCGGCGTTAGTGCATTCTTTTTTTGAAATTCTCTATCTTGTAAAAGAATTATCAGTTGTCACATTTCTCCCTGATGCTTCCAACTCCTACATCGTATTCAATACAACTGTTCCTGATTCACGCGGGCCTCATATTTGGCCATTATAAGCATACGAAGTTATATAGCCACAGGTTGCAAAAATCTTTATGTCGCACTTTTCTGGTTTAGAAGAAATAATCTGTTTAAAGAGGCACTTTCTATGGAATGTTTGTCAACAGTTATATTATGATGGGGTACGTATGAATCTTGTAGTTTAGGAGGCAAAAACTCAAAGAAAGCTCTAGTAGATGATAATTTGTCTAAATCTTGATTTTCCTCTGTAATTCAGCATTACCAAAACACAAAGATTAGCATCCAGCTTTTTTCATAAGTCATCATCAGAGCCGCGACGTTTCGGGCTGTTGATGTCACCATCTGTATAGAGCAGCGAATGGGTTATAGCGTAGTAGTAACATGCTTCTATCGAGCACATCGATGTGCCGCAACATAACGATACTGGTTGAATGCTGGCCCATGTAAAATTTGGGGGGATTCTCTGCGGTGCAGCGTTCAATAAGTGTTTGGCCCATTGTCCGATTAAAACTCAACCAGTGGCGTGGTATACTATATGTGGCGTGGTGTGGTCCATGTTTCCCGAGTCTCTACCGTAAGGCGACGAGTCGCCAATGAGTTGCCCGACAACGTCGCGGCTCTGGTCATCATTCTTCATGCAACTATCTGCATTAGTCCACTCAACGATGTAGTTGATGAATCTCGTCTTTCAAAATAGGCGAAACTACTGCAAATTGTGTTCAAGTTTTGCTTAGCGTATCACGTGGTTTTTTCTTTTTCAACCTTATATTTGATCTGCAGTATCATATAAATATTTACAACGTTAAGAAATGCAAATAAAAACATTTAGGTAAAAATTGTACTGTTGATGATCAATATTAATGGTCAGTGATGCTTTCAGATTCTGAACCAGACGAATTTTTGAGGTTGTATTGTTCAGAGAAATCTTCTTCACCGTTGTTATCTGTATAGGCAATAACATCTTGATCACCTTCACCACCAATTACATTTTCTTCTAGAAACCACTGTGGTAAAAAATCTTCTGCAAATTTATCAGTTAACTGAAACGAACTTCTTCCAGCCATGATTACAGAACAAATACGGAGAATCGTTATAAATTTTATGAATACAGCGTCCTCGACGTTTATATTGAATTAGGTAAAGTACCAATAGTGCAAGTAAAATATTTAAATAACGTAACTAAATAATATATTAGCGGTTAATGTAGAATATAGAAAAGATTATTTTGGGAAAAATGTTAATAAATTTTATAAATCGATGGTAATGCCACCTTTTGTAAATTTTCTCCTTTAAATTTATTACGTATGAATTTTTAGTTCCTACGCAGAAATATTCTCGTTTTAGAAAATTAATTTATACTTTATTGTTTTGGTGTTTTCGAAATCTAATTTAAATTTACACGTGTTCAATTTAACAACAACATTTTCATAAAACTACTTTCTTACCTTGTGTTGAAACTGAACGACTTCTCGCCAAATCGATTTTCGTCGCGACCAAAATTGCTGTTCTCGATCTTAAAAGTTCAGCATCTTGTAGTCTACTCAATTCAGCTTCTGCTCTAAGAAAACTGGCTTTGTCCACGACCGAATAAAGCACGATGAAGGCGTCCGGTGGATTGATCTTATCGATCTCCTGTAATTGGGAAGGCGTTTAAATATGGGACAATTGAGAGGATTGCTGCAGATGGCAATCTACTTGGATTGCAAGCGGGAACCGCACGAGGAAGAGAACCTTCGAAATTAGATCTCCTTTCCCCTTGATTAATTGAAATTATCGCGTGTTCCTCCTTCTCATCCGAGTCGACATTGAATGTTCACAAGGAATCTTATGATTAGATAACAAGATTTTTCACGAGATTTTTCAACTTTTACGGTTCTTGATAGAGAAAAAATCCTAGAAAAAATTGTATACTCACTTTATGATTTGAGATGTTTAAAAAGTTTAATTCGGACTCCTCGTTGTTAAGCATAATGGATACTGATTGATTACCAACATCTGAAACAATTCAAAATTTAATTTAAAGTTGAAATTGAAATATATTTGTGGTGGGTTGAAAAATTGATGAAAAATTGAAAGAATTCTAGGATTGTTGAGATTGAGGTCGACGCTGTTATCGAAAATCGCGATTAAACCCGAGATGTCGGATCTATTTTACATATTTTCGAATCTTTTCCGAAAATATTCTTTCTTTATAGGAACGGGAGATGAAATACTATTGTTGTATCTTGAATGTTAAAATAAATTTTGATTACATCATAAAAGTATAGATTTTGTATTGAATTTTTTGGTGTAAAGGTTAAAATAACGGAATAATCGATTAACGGCAAAAAATTTCTTTGGATAGGCGTCAAACTTTGTTCGCTTTGGACATACCACTCAACTTCTTATAGCTTGGTAGTAAAAAAGAACAATAGCCGCTTCTTCTGAAATCCGATTTTATCTTGCTTTGGACGTAATAAAAAAATGATCTTTTCTCATATACGAAGCAAAAAAACGAAATATTATAATGATGCAAAAATTCGACTTGGAGATTTTGATGAATCTATAAATATTGAAAGGCTTTAAATCCATTTTTTTAAATTTAACATTAAAATAATCCTTGCTAAATATTATTGAGGGATGAAACCATATCACATATTTATTTGGAAATGCCATTGAATTTCAATTTCATTAACTACATTATGATTTTCTGTTGCCCACGAAAATTCATTACATACAAATCGGTCTGCAATATATTATCATATATCAAACAATATATTATCATATATCAATAATGTATTATCAGCTAAAATTTCTATTCTTCTGATTCTCCCTATTTAAAAGCTGTACGTTATTTAATACATAGATAAAACATCAATTATTGTTTGCCAAACCCTAAATAGAATAAGATGAGTTTAAACCGTTTTCAAATCTAATCCACATCTAGGATTAGATTATAATTGCAAATGTCGGTTGTACTTTGGGTGATTGTTTTAAGACATAAAATTCATTACCTCTCGTCCGCCGATTTAATTTTCAAACGCTAACAGGTGATTTATAACGGAGATATAATCATACCTTTACTTCTCATTAAGTTATTTTTGAAAAAGCATTTCAGAAAACATGCTATAATTGCCAGCTCATAAAATTTACGCTATTAAGAAAATATTTCTAACACAGATGGGGCAAATTTATAAAATATTTATATTTTTTATTACATAACTAAATATAACAGATTTAGTGCTTTATTAGAGGTATTTTTGGTAAGTTTATGTAATAATCCATAAAATTCAACTCATTACAACTCTATAGGTCGGCCTGCGATCAGTAACTTCTATACAACTAAAAAAATGTTCAAGGCAATAACATGTAGGTACAGAGATGTGCAACATTTATATGACCAACCAATTCAAAGGCAAATAGAATTTGTGGAGCTGAGTCTGATCTGATGTTACATAGTATTTGAAATATTTTGGACCAAACTCCGCAGAAGATATTTCAACACTTCAATAAAATTAAAATTGATGCAATTTTTAGATATAGAGCCAACAACAAAATCTACATGACATATTAATGCTTAAATTGTGGTATCTTGTCCCCAATATATATAAAATAATGTTCTATTTTACTAGAGTTATAATTTAATCAATGAAATAATGAAAGATTGATAACAACAAATTGATAAATGAATGAAATTTTGATGAATGATAATAATAATAAATTTATATAGCAACAAACTCTCTTGTTTTAATGTAGCAAAGGATGGAATATAGGTTTCCTGGGTTTGTGATGCATCAAATGGTTATTATAAGATCAGCTTTATACTAGTGAAGGAACGGTGATTTTGCGAAAAATTTTGCATATCTATCCGGCCATTATGGTTATAATTTCTGGTACATTTCTGAAGTGATACCATACATTGCCACATTATTGCGATATTTGAATAATAATGAAATTAATAAGAAAGCTGATTAGATATGTCAACTTATTTGGATCCAAGATACAAAATGAACTTTTTTGATACCGATTTAACTAACAAAGCAACTCTCAAAAGAGGATACTTTAATTAATAATTGGCGATATTTCCACAAGGATCCTTCAAGAAATGAATTTTATAGTGAATTTTGAAAATTATCGATGAAAATTGCAATATCGAAAATTTTATCAAAACTTCAAATATTGTTTTCTCAAAAACTAAAAGTTATTTTTCAAAACGTATTGGTTCATTGGAAAGAGGATACTCTTATTAACACTTTGGGAAGTTTTCATCCTCATATTCCCAGACATGGATTTTATACGAATTTTTAAAACTTAATCGGCGAAAATTGCAAAATTCGAAAAAATTGTCGATCATTTCAAAAATTTATTTCTCAAAAACTAAAAGTTATTTTTCAAAACGGCTTGTTGCATTAAAAAGAGGATACTTTAATTAATTATTGGTGATATTTCCACAAGGATCCTTCAAGAAATGAATTTTATAGCGAATTTTGAAAGTTATCGATGAAAATTGCAACATGGAAAATTTTATCAAAACTTCAAATATTGTTTTCTCAAAATCTAAAAGTTATTTTTCAAAACGGATTGGTTCATTGGAAAGAGGTCAGTCTTATTAACACTTTGGGAAATTTTCATACTCATATTCCAAGAACTGGATTTTGTACGAAGTTTTAAAACTTTGTCGACGAAAATTGAAAAATTCGAAAAAATTGTCGGTCATTTCAAAAATTTATTTCTCAAGAAATTAAAGTGATTTTTCAAAACGGCTTTTTGCATTAAGAAGAGGATACTTTAATTAATAATCGAAAGTAATAACAACGACAGTTCTGTTAGTAATGAATGTGATGATGAATTACAAGCGAAGAGAAGGAAACTAGACGAAACTGCAACAAGAGATTTTATATATCGTATTGGGATTCTTACAATGAGGTTGCTAAAGATAAACCTGATATAAATAATGTTGTATTCAATGAAAAAAGTTCTATTGGGGTTGAACTTGATTATTATCTGCAGTGAAGGTGGAGTACTAAGTAATAGGTTTTTAAGATATCTGGTAACTATCCGGTATCCGGCCGGATTTTAAGTGGCCGGATAGGCCGCATCCGAATAGTCGCCGGATATTTGTTCCACCACTACTTTATACTGAGAAATCATCAAATGGTGGTCGATAAGTTAATGTGGGGAACGAACAGTAATAGTTTTAGTTAATCAGGATGAGAGTCTTGATAACTTCTTTATAACATTAGAATTAGTCAATATATTGAGTTCCTTTAACTAGTTTAATTTACAATAAGAGAAAAGATCCAACTAAACAACATGCAGGGTTTACACATATTCTTGGTCTACTCTTTCTGTACCACCTATATCTTACACCCACGTATACTACCACATCTTCTATCTTGCATTCCTTACGAATTTCCTTGCTTTTTGTTTGATGCTACGGTGTGTTTATAATGATTCCTCATAAAATCGCCATCTACTTAGGTTTGCACCATCCATCATTGTTGACCTGACGCAAACTTTGAATATCGTCATTTTGGTCTCGATAGATATGAAGCTCCAGTTAAGTTCTCCATTAGACGATATGCTTACGCAACAAGTAACAAAGTACTCAAATAGATGTAATCTATTACTTGCTGTGTTATGTGACCGTTCACTTCTAGTTTACATCTGTGCGCTTCTTTAGCTATTACCACAGATTTTGTTTTAGGAACATTTATCTCTATGCTGTCTTTTTCCGCCTATATTCGAGAAGCCTAGAGTAGCCATAGTATCCTTTGTGACTGCGTCAATCAATGTTGCGTCGTCCGCGTTGCATATAATTATTAGTTTTCTTCTCCCATCTTGTATCCGTGTTAATTGGTATTTGCGTTTCAGATGTAGATTGCTCAAACGTGCACCTACTAACCCAAATCGCGGTTATCTGTGATTAAATCAGATAATCGTAAGTGATAGTAATCAAAACATAAACTAACCAAGTCACCCCAACCTTTCACTTTCGTTATACAATTAATTTTATACAATACTGTAAAAATTTTTGGAAAATAATATATGTCTCTACTTTAACCTTTAAATTTTCACATAAATCCGAAGCCAATTAAACGAATTAATGAAAATTATATTTACTAATTAACTAATAAAGGAAATTGATTTTTACAGATTTTGCAGAGCAGAATAATTTTTACTTAATTGAGTTGAATCATTAATTGACTATTTTAAATTTGCCTCATTTAATTGTCGATTGATTCATTAGCCCACATTACCCGTTATTCAAATATTGGAATTATCATTGTTTTGCTCTTTTAGTTAAAATGATTAAACGTTATATTCGTAAAAGTCTATTTTAAAATTATCCTGGAAGAAAACAAAATTTACATAACGCCATTACTGATGATAAAGCGAGTAAATATTTGCTTTTGTTCAACAACTTTAATCTGGAAAATTTCTTATAAAACCACTATTCTATATTCTATTCTAAAATATGATTATATTTTTAGGTATTATTAACTTCGTAACTCTTTTTACGATTTCTTTTCCGAGAAATTTGTTTTATAAGCTGTTTTATTTTTATATGTTAACCGAAAACCAATTTTATAGTTTCAATTTTAAATATAAAGCGATTATTAGTTAATAAAATGAAGAGAGTAATTATTTTAGTTTTTATTTTTAACATTTGTAAAGTTGAACCTAGTTTAAGTAATTGTTTCTCGAAATTGTTCATCCACCTTTATCGATAAAAAACATTGAGTGAGGTGAATAAAAAATAGAAAGTACTTAGGATTTCGAGATAACTGAGTTACAACTAAATGAGTAGAAGTTTTATAGAAAATTTATAATTGTTATATATCTCAACTTCCTATTCTTGTAAATTTCTGGTCAATATTTAGAGGGGTCTCTCATTCTTGCGCAAGTTTTCCAATTAAAGTACTCATCACTATATAAGGGTGATTTTCAATTTCGATTTGGATGCAATCCAAAGTCTCTGTAATAGTTGGCAGTCGAAAATGCTGTACCTTAAC